ACCGAAAACCAATAGAGGAGATATCGTAGAGGGCGGCCCAGACACTAGAAGTTCACCGGCATGAGGCGGCGCCGGCGGGAGAGGCGGTGAGAAGGGAGGCCAAGCTGAGCAATGTCGCGGAACTGGGCTTGCGGAGAAGTCGTCCGTTCGGTTCGGGTAAGCCAAATGCAAGAATAGAGGAAATAGGGTATTTTATTTAGAAACTTAAATTGGTGGGACCCGACATCATGAGGCGTGCGCCTCACCTAACATTGCGCAATTAAGCCTCAAAGGCACGCCTCATGGACTCTGAGGCATAAGCCTCACCTAGACCTAAAATTTCTTATGCAATGAGACTCTAGGGGGCTAAATTACACAGAGGCGCGCCTCTTATTGCATAATTTTAAACTATGCTCTTTACAAGACGCAATGGAGAAAAATGATTCATGTAGCTGAACCGAAATAGATGTTGTACAATTGAACAAAATTAGAAATCAATATTATTTTTGAAATCTAAGAACAAAGATGAAAAAATTCTCAAATTGTATTTGCTGTCAACAATAAACCAAATGAGCCATCTACAAATCTTTGAGTACACTTACCTAAACACCTGCAAACCCTTTATTGAAATGCTTTCAACGGTCGGTAACCGAAGCTCTAATCTATTCTTTCGTTCATCAGCTTTGAAGGTTAGAGAGCAACAACATATTATTCCTCCAATGGAAATGGTTTTGTAGTGTACTTGGTGCAATCAAAAGGTCCAACATCCTGAGCTTTCCTCTTAACCTGCAAAAGGATTCTTCTAAGTAAGACAAGCTTGCTTTTAAGCAGCAACACATATTATATAATGAATCAAAATCCATTCTTGAGATCACTGTAAATAAGTTAAGAACCAGATAAAAAGATTCAAGTTTCAATAGAAACTGATCCGCTTCAACTTGTAAAACATTCAAAAATCTGCTTAAGATCACTTTTTTTAATTGTTTTTAAAGCACTTGGAACAACTTTGAAGTATTTTGAGTGATTTTAAAAGCAACTATCACAATCGGGGGACATCACCGATGTCACCAGCAACCATAGTTGCCAAACACTACCACTGTCATTACCTCGTTGGCCGCTTCCATTGCCCCACTAAGACCACAACAACCAGACAAAAATCAATTTAACTGATATTCAGTAAAAAAATAAAAAATAATATATTTTTCAGATCTAAACATCTTTGGTAGTTTCAGTCTAAAAGTGTCGACCTAGGAAAAAAATTGTCAAAACACATCAAATAGCCCAAATCAAAACAGCCATCCAAATATATACTAATTTGACAAAAATTGAAACGCTGAAACTGAGATTAGAAACCTTGATGTCAACCAATAATAGTTTTTTTTTTTTTTTTAACAATACTAAATTGCACCAAAAACTAAAATATTATAACGTGGGATGTGAGGCTATCAATAATGTTCCATGTTAAACATCAACTATCAGCATTGAAAATACTAGTCTCACATTCCAGTCAGTTCCTGAAGGATAAAAAATGAAGAATATTTAAGTTTTAGACTAAACATTCACAGTGAAAAAAAGTTGAGCCTTAGGATTGTTAAAACAATAAAAGGGTAGTGAAAAATCAACAAGATGTCCCGCTGATGAGATGATGGGCGAGAAAACCAAGAAAGAACAAATTAGTATACATATTCTGCAATGAAATCCCAAAGCAAAGTGTCATTTCTTTTAAAACACTGGATGCTCTATGATACTCGAGTATTGATTCATCATCATTCATTTTTAGCCTCATCCCTACAGCTTGGTTGGGCTTTCTGAATCATTCTTCTCAAAAGTTTTGCATATGACGTTAGCTATAGTAAAAGAAACAATTTTAACACAATTGGCAACGATTGGTTTACACATTTTGCTCCATATTTCTTTCACACTAACTCAACAACCATTTGTTACGGTCTATTCTACTCATTTTTGTACTTGACCAAGCCTCCTACTTCTATTTTACATATAATCAATAGTTATTGCTACAACAATCCCTTGCAAATTTATCACTTCAATTCTATTAATCCTTCTTAGGGCTAATTGTTGGCATACTAACAGCTTTTTGGTGGGAAAAACATAGTTGGACATTGTCAAGGGTGAAATTGGCAAGGGTTGAAATGTATAGTCAGATTTATGAACTCCTTACCTTTTAAAAATGATGACTAACATGTATTTTTTTTTATCTCATTTGAATTATTGTGTTATGGAATTGTAATATACTCATCGAGTTATATTTATAACTCACATTGCAATTTAATAAATAATTACAAGAAAACATCCTACAAATTCAATAAATGATAAGAGAGAGTTTGTGTACATACAATGTGGGACAACAAGAGATAGTTATTCAAATTTACAATTGTTAAATAGCAATATAATGGTTATCATTTTGGAATAAAGTAAATTTCATAGATTAATAGCCCTTTTAATGTATTAAAGTTGACAGATGTAATTAAACTCTACTAAATTTTCAGTTAATATGGACAGAATATGAAAGATCTCCACATTTAAACTAGTGTGTTGGGGCCATTCGAAACATGGCCATGGACAATATAAGTATATTGGATTCTCTTAATCCGAAATAATAAATTTACTAACTGCTTTAAGTAGAAAATTTATTTTGAGAGACACCAGTCACTCCACCAAAATCTTAAGCAAAACATCAGCCAAAACCCCATAAATGAATTAATTATTTGACTATATATAAAACGAATTTGAAACCTCTGAAATAAATTCATTGCAAGCCTGGCTAAAAAGGTTTCAAGACGGTCAATCGGTATCACAAGCACTACTAAAATTAGGGTATCCGATCAAAACTAGTATAACATGATATGCAAAAAATGGCACACTTTGGTTTAGATAATAAATGAAAGTTGGCGGACACATTTACGAGTCAATTTTTTTCACATGCAAAGAATTAGTAAGTCAAATTATAGAGAATTGAGTGGTTTCTTTTAACGAAGACTCTATAGTTTATCAAGTAGTGCAGTTTAACGTCGCTAAAAACTTAGATGGCCACAATTCTGCTCAACAAAGGCTAAAAAGAATTAAAATTATATGTTTCATGCATCCAAGTATATTCCAACCAATACAAGAGGGCATTTAGGGCTGAAAATGAACCAAGCCAAGCCAAGTAGGTGCTTGTTTTTGTTTGAGCTCGTTTATTATAACCTTGTTCAAACTTCTTTTGAGCCCGATTCAAGTTTCCCAATTTATATTCAAACTTGGTTCATTTAAAATTATAGATGTTCATTTTATGTTTGTATTCAGTTCGTTTAACGAGCTTTACTTTTTAGAAGTTTATTAGCTTATTGAACTTTAAACAAATGAGCTTTATCAACTAATTAATGAGCTTTACTTTTTAAAAATCCATAAGCTTAACAAACGAGCCTTATCAAGCCTACTAATAAACAATTAATGTAGTGTATGTTCGTGAATATATCTTAACAAATATTTTTTTAGTATCTAAATGGGCCCATTCACGAACAACCGAGCTAAGAAAATAATTTTTCTTATAAACAATTTTATCCATAAACACTTTAAACAAATAACCAACAAACATGAATAAATTCATTCTAATAAATGATTATAATATAAAAAATAAGAATTACATATTATAAAAAAACAAAAAATTATATAAAAATAAACTAAATGAATAGATATTTATGATAAATTCATCACCGTTGAGTTTTTAGATGCTCTGTTTTTGTAAGAAAATAAATTCATTATAAAGATTGGCCTTGTGGAAACAAGTGTTCTTCCTCAGTTGTCTTAGATTGGCTATACTAGTTTTCCCCCTTCTTATGCTTATGGAGGAAACTTATTTTTGGAGATTAGAGAAGAGTTTTTAACTGTATTGCAATAGGTTTTTTACAAGATTTATTTAAGTTTCTTGATTTAGAAGATTGCTATTCAGAAAAAAAAATTGATCATTGCTACATATCATAAAACATACCAAATTTTAGTTAAAAAAAGATCATAAAAAGTAAAAGGGAAGGTGTTCAAGAAGCACCTCTTCATATATCTTCGCTTGGGCTAGAAGCGTGACCGGAAGAAAAGGCATTGGCGAACTCTTTATCGGCGCAGTTCTTCAGCTCCTCTTCAGACCCAGAAAAATAGAGATCGAGGGAGCCGTTGGAAAAACGACAGCGAAAAAAAGGAGTTGCCTATGTCGTGTGTGTGAAGAGATGGAATGACAGCGGGAGTTGGGCAATGTGTTGGATTAGGGCAAAAAATATCAACTTTAGGGGTGGGGCAAAAGTCCAAAATGACCTCCCCTCTTAGTTATTTCTGCGATTTTAGGGTGGGCAATTGCCCACCCTCAATCCTACGTGGATCCGCCTTTGGCCCGATTCAAGTTTCCCAGTTTATATTCAAGCTTGGTTCATTTAAAATTATAGATGTTCATTTTATGTTTGTATTCAGTTCGTTTAACGAGATTTACCTTTTAGAAGTTTATTAGCTTATTAAACTTTAAACAAATGAGCTTTATCAAATTATTAATGAGTTTTACTTTTTAAAAATTCATAAGCTTAACAAACAAGCCTTATCAAGCCTACTAATAAACAATTACTATAGTGTATTGTTGACTCAAGAAGAATGGCACGAGTGCAAGAATATTTCTTTGAAGCTATAGGATTCCACTTCCCTTAAGTCAGATTGAAATTAACTAGATTTCTCCTGAGGACAGTGTCAAGGTTTAAAGATCTAGGGTCCTTAGTTAATTAACCCCCTTCTGGTGCGTGGCCGGCCGGATCTAAGATACGACGGCCCGGGGTCTTCAAATTTTAAAACAATCTGCCCGGATTAAAAATCAACAGCGCAGGTCTTCGAACTCAGACCATCCACCTAGATCTAAGATCGATGGCGCGGTTCTTCGAAATTTATTTGAAAGTTTTTTTTTTCTATTTTATTCATTTTATTTTATTTTTATTATATATGTATATAATATTATATGATATTATATGTAATATAATATACATAAGATATCATATTATAAGAGGAGGAGAGTTTTGTACGGTACCTGTTTTAACTTCCAAAATGTCCTAAGATAAAAGAAGCCAATTAGATAGCAAAATAATCTAGGAGATATAAAGGTGTTGAACATATGCAGAAACTAAACTAAATCAGATACGGAGAGAAAAATAAACTGAGGAATGAACTTGATGCTAGTACAAAACTAAAGGCTAGACAAACATGAATTTAACTTCAATATGAAAAAAAGCTAAATAATAAAGATACAGCTAGGCAGTAGATTTGTAAGAACTGATAGTGTCATATTGTTAAAACAAAATTACAAGAGCTGACTAGAAAGTCCTCAGAATTATAACTAGAAGATACCTAACAAATTCAAATTAAAATCACAAATCCATGAAGAGAACAATCTGATGGACCATAATTGGAGGCAAAAATCAAAACTTTAAAAAGGCATTGTCTAGAAACAGAACAAAAAATGGATGCTAGAGAAAATGAAATAGTACAACCCTTAGGTGTGATTGGAAATGAAAAATAAGGCCAGATCAGAAAAATCAAAAGTTTATAAGAAACTCAAAAACCATTTAAACCATCAATCTGCATGCCTCATCAAGTAATTGAATTTTTTCTTGGGGGTTGTTTGTTTGGACGTATTTGGAGTAAAGCAAATGCAAAGACTTTGGGATTGCATGTATTTGGTTGGAATAAAAACAAATACTTATTTTATAAGAAATTTAGATTGCCCCTTTTAGGTTATTTTCAGTGTTTTTAAAAATATTCTGTAACATGAAGTATAGAAAGTTATGAGTGGTCACAATATTATCCCCGAGCACCCCGCCATCTACGTCGCCTTCATGGTCACTCATAACATCCATCATAGTCACCGTCTGTCATGCCTAGATCGTGCATCTATCGTTTGTTGTTGCCAGCATCCACGATGTCGCACCTCCCATTTTTCATCTCCATCCCAGCATTTATCATCCCTGTCGCCCACCTGTTGTAAACACACCCCAACAACCCCAATTCCGTTGTTGCTTCTATGTTTGGTCAAAAATTTTGATCCATTTTGCTTCCAAAAAATCTTCTTAATTTGACTTACAACCAACCAAGAGTATTCCATATGCATTGTATTTACTTTATATTGCATTTGGGATGTATAAATTCTAGTAGCAACCAAGCAGTCCCTTAAGAAAACCCTCATTAGAAGCCATACTTTCTCTCTTACAGTAAGTACTAATTACATAACAAAAAAATAAACACAACTTGTTAAAGATAAACACATAAAAACACAAATATATGCCAAATTCATTAAATACAGAATAAAACGCAACTGACCTCTCCAAACGCCTCAATCGCTGACAGCCACTCCTCTGAGTATGGAACAGCACTCAAATGAGGTTTCAAGAGGGTATTTTCTTGCTTCAAGTTGTCCAAAGATACCCTTTTACTGCAAGAAAGTTTCAAAATAATCAAGCAAAACCAACTTTCTGTTAAGCCAAAAGTTCAGAAGCATATGAGATAATTACACTGGCATCAATCCATTCTCTTCTACTGAGCTAGTCTCATTCCTTAACTCACACAATTGAAGGTCATTTTGGGACTGACACTCTTCTGATGCTGCAAGTTGAACATCCGATAAGGAGTTCCCAGGGATAGTTTGCTGGACTTGAGATATTGTATTGTGGAAGTGTTCGTTACCATTCTGAACACCACCCTCTTCTGTTGAATCCTCATTGAGCTTTTGGAAGTGCTCGTTACCATTTTGAGATAATTCTTCTTCTGAAGCACCACAAACAGCGCTTATACTTTCAAGCGTCTCCAAGCTAGTGTCAGCAAAAGTCTCATCTCCTGCATCTTTATGCATAACAAGCTCACTATTCATAACTGGGGCATGCACATACAATGGTTTTAAATTGCTTTCATCCAAGTTTTGTGGGAAGTGCATTTCAGATGAGGTGGGACAAATTTCAGTTGCAATGGTACCAACGGAATACTGAGAAGAATCACTGGTGCTCTCAAAGCCATTAAAATGCTGAACATTTCCGATCATCCCACCTCCCTCAGTCCGAGGATTACAGCTGATCTGTGACTGGGAACAATTTTCATCAGTTAATTCCCTTTCCATTGTTCTTCCATTGTAAGGTTTCCCTAGAAGTGTTTCTCGAGTTTTCACATCCATATTGAGGCTCACCGACAAACAGTTGGTCGTAATCTCTTCCGCAGCATCTGATAGGCAATTTGATCTCCCACAAGCATTGGATGATATCATACCTTTTTTATTGAACTGTTTTATCTCCATGTTTGCATGTGCTTCAAAATCTGAAATTGCAAGATTTGAGCCTTCTGCACTCAATAAAATTGCTGTGCTTCAAAAATCAAAGATAGACTTTGGCTTTAGTTGAAGTAGTACCTTTTCTTGTTTGTCGCTCAGTTTGAGCCATTGGAGGCTTAGAAGGAGCCATGCGCTTAAGATTGACCAATTTTCTTAGGGACTGAGCCTTAGATATGGGCAATTGAGAAGTTCTATGGAGTTGAGTGCTGTGAGAGGAAGTAACCATTTTCTGAAAAATTAAGAAAATCCAACTTAGTGAGAGATATAAAGACAAAACCTTTTTAACACAGACGATTTATGATGCAGTGAGATTCAGGACATGAAGAATACATCCAATATAACTTCTTTAGATTGATGGAAAATGCTCTTAAATAGACCATAAATTTCAACTAGAAAACTATAGTGAGAGCGTTGTGTAAGATCTGGTGGTGCTTCACTTCGATCTCACACATTGTCTCGTTGATGAGGGCATGTTCTACGTTATCAAGCGCCAAAACACGTGCTAGAAGCACACGTGCAAGAAACATATAGGAGAAACGCTTGAATGATACTTTTGGTTGGTCTAAGTTTTCAAAGTTTGCGTGAGAAGGCTGTCTCTCTCCTGCGCTCAGCTCTGTCTCTGTCAGCAACGCTCAACTCTACCAGTAAGCAGCACCGGCACGCACTTTCTAGATTGGTATATTTATTCAAACATTCCCAAAAAAAAAATTCAAAGCAACGGTGACATATAGCTTGCTCTAATCAGGGGTGTCAATATTTGACCCGACCCGAAAACCTGACCCGAAGGTCGGGTTCGGGTTAGGGATTTTCACATGTTTGTAAAACCAGGTCGGGTTCGGGATTACCCGGAACTCCGAAATCAACCCAGGTCGACCAGTTTTTAATTAATTTAGGAGAGTTTTAAAATATTGTTATGAAATAAGTAAATGATATTTCTAAAAAATAATAAATATTGTTGCCCAAAATAAATTAAGCTTGATTTATTTTAAATTGATTGAAGTAAATCTTCCCTTAATTTGATTTAGGATTAAATAAATTGAATTAAATAAAAAAAAATTTAGTAAAACATACCCGAAGCAGGTCGGGTTTGGGTTCAGAAAACTGACCAGTTTGTAAAAATGGCTCGGGTCGAACAGTGTCAGGTCAGTTTCGGGTTGGACACGAACCGGACCAGTGACCCGATTTTGACAACCCTACATCTAAGGGCATCATTTTCTCCTCACCCCAATCATGCATGTCATAACGCTCGTCTCTCCTGTCCACCTCCATCAGTTAATTAAAATTTTACTATATTTAATTTAATTAAACGTGCATTGGGATTTAAATTATTCATAAAAATACATAATTAATCAAAAAAAAAAACTTAAATCAAGGAAATGCTATCATCAAATTAAAAATGATAAAATAAACGTACAAAATCTATATTTGTAAAACTTTTAATTATATATATATATATATATATATATATATATATTATATTATATTTGCACATTAAAGTGAGATGGCTTCTATACATCTCATTGAGCTTTACACTTTTAACAGTACAATTCAATCTCAACATTAAATTATACAACCTTTATTTTTTTGTGTAGTCAAAGAAGTGATGGACTTTCTTCTTTCTCAGTGATTCCAACAATCTTTGCTAGTATGAGTTTAACAATATCCTTCGAGGTGTGGTTCCAAATTCTAAGAATATACTACAAAAATGTTCTTCGAAGGAAACCTAGTCGTACGAGGCTATGACATCTTCTATGCAAGAATGAATTTTTCTCTTAATCCAAATCCTACATAGTCAAAATTTTATTTTTTGCTGTCATCTTACATCACTTTAGCTAAGGGAATTCCATGTGAGAGGAAAAGGAAATTTCCACTTTCGGAGGTATAAGTTATTCTGTGCGGCATCTGGTCAGGAAACACTCGTCCGGATATGTGAGTGTACACATTGTATACACATTTGTACACATTGTATGTAAAATCAGTGTACACCAACGATTAAAAAGGCGTAAGAGGCGTACGCACTAAGGCGCGACTTAAGGCGAGGCGAAGCATTTGCGCGTTGAGGCTTACGCCTCGTTGGATTCGGCGGAGCATGCGCTTATTTCACATGGGGCGTATGCTTCGTTTCGTAACGCCTCGAAGCGAAACAAGCACCCGCTTCGATTTGTAAGTATATAGACCGAGCGGTGAGAGTCATATAAGAGTCGAGTATTAGGGTAACATACCTGCTTCTGCTTCGGGTGAGAACTGAAAAGGCGAACTCCGCCAACTTGGAGCGAACAGTTCGGTCAAGGCGATCGAAGGTAACGATTTATTTCTTCTTCTTCTCTTGCTTCCCGTAATCTTCCCGTCATTTGCTTCATGTCTCGCTTCTTCTTCTGCCAGCTTCTTGTAATCGAAGGTTCTTTTTTCACGGGTTAGGTAACGATCTTTCTTCCCGTTATTTGCTTCATGTCTCGCTTCATCAGATTGTACATGCCGGTAACCGCTCATTTACATGCTCGATACATGCTCAGTACATGCTCGGTTACAGAGCAAGTACATGCTCGGTACACGCTCGGATCTGAGGCGGTACATGCTCGGTACGCCAGTATTGAGCATTAAAACAAGCAGAATTTCAAAATTACTCTTATAATAATAATTTTTGTAGAATGCCTTGGACCCCCCAGCAGACTGGATATTTTTTTGTTTTCATGTTAGTTTTAATTATTGGTTTTTGGTAGTACAAATAATTGTTAAAAATATATCATATTGTTAGCAGACTATAGTGGCACAAGAAGGAAAGATCCTGCATGGAAATATGGAACTCAAGTTGAAGTGTCAGGCGAAGGTGCAAAGAATGGATATGTTTTAACATGAAATATAAATTTCTGTGAGAAACGCATAACTGGTGGCGTCAAAGACATTGAAGGATTATCTAGCCTGCACTCATGTCAATGTGGGACCATGGTGCAAAAGTTCCTGATGAGGTGAAGAAGGAATGTACAATTTATTTAAAGAAGTTTGCCACCAACAAAGGAGTCACACCAAAAGATATGAAAGAGATGATAGGAAACTCTTCTATTATGGATCACAGGCATGAAGGTTCAAGTACTGGAAGCCAATCTATGTTCTTCTGATCAATGGCAGTCGGGGGCCCATGGATAGATTTATGCTAAATATTGATAACGACAAAAAACATAAATACTCAGGATATTCAACCTCAACAACTACAAAAGAACTTCAGGAATAGAGTTTGTTTGGAATCTCCATATTCATTAATGAAAATGGAATTCCATTTAATATGTTGTTAGGAGTCCGTCGTGGATCAATATGTTACGATCTGTTGGAAGCTATGGAAAAGGATTAACACTTCCCAAGCATGTATGGCTTAGGACTTGGATGCTGAATGAGGAAGGTTAAGACAACTTCAAAAAATGGTGATGATGTTAAGAAGACTTGGATTGAGACAGGAGAAAGTGACAATAATTCAGATGGTTGGTCAGATATTTTAACATAGAAGTATTATTAATTTCGTCAATAATCCATATTGGAACATTTTTTCTCAAAATCAGTAGATGCCTTCAGCTTTGTAGGATGCACAATTATTGTTTGAAATGTTGGATGAAGTTTGTGGAGGAAGTGGGAGATGCCTTAGTAGTACAAGTTGTTACTGATAATACAAGTGCATACAAAGCTGCAGGAGAAGAATGTTAATGGAGAAGAGGCCTCACCTTTACTGGACTCCTTGTGCTGCACATTATATGTGACTTGATGCCTTGAGAGGTTGGGACACGTTGCCTTCAATTATAAATCAGCTCTATTAAAGGCCAAATTCGTTAGTAAGTTTAATATACAATCAATTCTTGGGTACTCAGCTTGATGAGAAAATTCACTGACAAGGAAATTATTAGGCCCTGCTGTTACAAAGATTTGCTACTTCATATTTAACATTGCAGAGATTCAAGGAGTTAAGACAACCTTTGAAGCAATGTTTGCTTCTAAAGAGTGGGATAAAAATTCATGGGCCAAAAATAGAATGGAAAACAAGTTAAAAGATTGTTATGAAAGAAGATTTCAATTTTGGCGCAGTACAAATTATGCTTTGAAGACAACAGGACCATTAGTAAAGGTGCTTTAGAATGGTTGATGGTGAGAGGGCCCCGGCTATGAGATTTATTTATGAAGCAATGAATAGGGCTAAAGAAGACATTAGCAAAAGAATTGGGAGGTCAAGAAAGTGCCTACAAAGAAATATAGGATATTATAGATGAAAAAGTGGGATCGACAATTACACCAACAACCTACATGCTGCTGCGTACTATTTAAATCCCCAATTTCATTACGATAAGGATTATCATGTTGACAAAGTGGTGAAAACCTGGTTTGTATGCATGTATGGACGGACTCATTTCTGAAGAAGACTATCTCAAAGTGAATGATCAACTTGAGGAATTTTCATTTGAAGAAGGGAATGTTTGGATTTAGAGCAGCACAGCATGCTACAAAACACGATCTCCCTGTATGTTTGTAGTTGTGTATTTAATAAATTTTTAATGTTAATATTTATGTTCAAGTCTTCAACTTTAACCAAATATACATAAAATATTATGTTTGAACTTCATGTAGAACGTTGTTGGGCTCAGTTTGGATGAATGTTCCTGAATTGAAGCTTTTGCAGTTAAAGTTCTTAGCCTAACGTGTTCGGCTTCTGCATGCGAGCGTAATTGGAGTATCTTCAATCAAATTCATACAAAAGAGAAGAATCGATTGCGGCAGATCAAATGAACAAACTAGTTTTAGTTATGTTTAACAAAAAATTGAAAGATAGACATCTCAAATTGGCAGAAATCAAGAAAATATTGAGATGAAATTGACCCTATTTGCTTGTGTGATGAGTTACAATCTGATATGAATGTGTTTACTCTAAGAATGCTGATGTATCTGACTCTGAAGTTAAAGCAGAAGGAGAAAGTCATGTCAATGAAGAAGACAATGAAGCAACTACTCAAATATATAAAAAAAAAAGAAACAAAGTGGATTGGAGCTTCAAAAAAATTTAAAGGTATTCTTAAATATAATGAAATTATTTTGTATGTTACTATTGTTTCATTTTAAAGCTAATGAAATATTAACTGATATAGGAGATAAAGGAAAAAATATTATAGATGAAGAAGAGTTGGAAGATGACTTTTACATTAATTATGAAGATTCTTCTGAAGACAATCAAAGTGATGATGAGCCTGCTTTGGGTCTTGATCATAAGGGGATGTTTTATTTTTAAGTGAGTTTATTTTAAATCTTGTATTCCAGTAATATTATCTTAAAACAAATCTTCAAATTCATAGTTAACATAATATTCTGATATTTTTTGTCATTATTTATAATTTTAAATTAATTTATTTTAATCGTTTTGAGGCTTACGCCTCAATCCGCCTCGAGGCTTACGCCTCGCCTCGTCTCGCTTAGAAAAAACGCCTCGATTCCCGATTTCGCCTTTAAAACCTTGGTGTACACACTACACACAGTGTGTACACTCACAGTCTGGACCGTTCTTCCCGTTCGAATGACAAACAAAATAATTTCTCAAAAGTTTGAGGAAGCGTGATACACATAACTAAACCAGTTTAGCATAATTGGCTTAATTGAACCCTAAGGAACAGACGATCAAGTGAGAAATATAGCCGAAAAAAGCATATGGATCAACGAAATCAACTGCAACAAGAGAGCGACCGAGGAAAAAAACGCAAGCAGCAAGGCGATCAAAAGGGAAAATTTTGGGGCCAAAAGACACGAGTCCACTCTCACAAGGGAGAAAAAGTTTAAATTTGCTATGTTTGTTCATGTTCACCAAAGGGGAAGAAGACCATGTTGACAGAAAATCTCAACCGGTGGGAACTCTAAACTTTTAAAATGCCCCTCAAATTACCATAAAATACATTCAAATCGACTTCAACATCACCCCGATGATGGCCGTGTTGAATGTAAATCTCAATCGGATGGATTAATATTTAAATATCTATCAAAGATCTAAAGCTCCATATTTCCCAATAATATTAATGTTTAAAAATGAAATAAAACACCTAAATACTTAAAGCAAAATACTCATCCACCCTCCGCAACAATTTACCGATGTGGACAAATCTAAAAATCACTTCAGCTCAGAAAGAGTGAATGTCTGGTCGAGAATATCATTAGGATTCATTCTCAAACCGTATTTTGCCAGAAAAGCCATGACACATGTCCTCTAACTGGTGGTTTTGCTATCAAATGACACCACACGCAAAACAATTACGACCGGAACCCTCTGTCCGAGCATTTTCGCCAAATGACACCACTAAATTATGGTCATGGTCAGATCCCATATGTTCTCTAATGACGCAAAAATTTTTAGTAATGAATCAAAAATATATGATCGATAGGGCACAAAGCCATTTGTTAACTAAGGTAGTTTCAAATTTATCTCCTTAAACAAATATTCACCGAAATTCTACAAGGTATCCTTGGGTGAAGCAAATCATGATTGTCGACAAGGAACCATCTCTCAGGTTGGGTCGACTACCTTCTCTGACTAAGTAGACCAGAGATCATGAAGACCTAGGACGACAGAACTATGAGATCTTGATCAGGTCTATCATAATTCCCCCCACCATCCGCTTTAAGTGCGTGGTGACATAAATTTCAATTTTCAAATACTAAATTCTACTATTACTATACACGAGAAGCTATGTATCTGTGGATAATATATATCTATACGACAACTAGCCTTAATCGAAAATTCTCTCTCATTAAAAGGAGGGGTAATTAACTATAGAGGCTTGAACCTATAGGAAATTTGAACCCAGTCCATAAAGTCCTCGCAAAATGAGGGCGGAATCTCCGGGTAGTGTCTTATTTAAAATTCAATATGTCTTCTGAAAATTTGCATTGGAACCTATTCATTAAAATTATCCTCAACGACCCAAAAAAAAGGGGGCCATGAAGAGGCTGAGAGTAAATTGTTGAAGCCCACAATATATAAATATATAATGAATATTAAACATAGAAATACATGAATATATAAATAAATATGAGGTACATACATAACTATGAATGCATGCATCTACACCACAAGTATAAATACAATATATAAATGCAGGTATGATGATGAAAGGCAGATATTAAATCATCAAAAAACAAATCCTCCATGTCCATTCCAACCCACGATAAGAAAATTATTGGGTTGAAGTCTATGTTATGTGTTGATAACCGATAGTAAAGCTTATGCCAAAACCAATAAAATGTACCCCAAATAGTTAGGATAAGACTATGATGACATGCACCGATACACCTATTTATGAATGTGTGTTGTATTCGATACACCTAGATTAAAAAAGATACACCAATTTATGAAGAAACTGATACACCTATTTATGAAGGCGTGTTGTATCCACTGAAGTGCTATGGAGAGTTCTTGAAAAGAAAAGAGTTAATAACGCTTATATTCAAATCATTAAAGATATGTATGAAGAAATTGATACATCTATTTATAAAGGCATGTTGTATCCACTGAAGTGCTATGGGGAGTTCTTGAAAAGAAAGGAGTTAATAACGCTTATTTTCAAATCATTAAAGATATGTATGCAGGAGCTATTACTTGTGTTCAAACACAAGGTGCTTTAACCAAGTATTTTCCTATTTTGGTTGGATTACATCAAGGATCAGCCTTATGCCCATATCTTTTTGCTTTAGTCATAGATGTTCTCACTAGACATTTGCAAGAGGATGTACCTTGGTGTATGCTTTTCGCTGATGATATATTTCTTGTTGAAAAGACTAAAGAGGGAGTTGAAGGTAAACTTGAATTATAGATGTCAACCTTAGAGTCTAAAGGTTTTCGCCTGATTAGACCGGAGAAGATCGGAGAAGGCTCGTAGAAGATATCAGAAGGAGCTCTCGTGTGGGGAAGTCGAAGAACGCAACTGCGGGCATCGTTTGGTTGGGTTTTAAAGGCGTCGAAGAGCAATAAATTATGCTCTGCGAAGGATTTCTGGTAAGTGACATAACCGGCGCCGCATGTACAGTATTTCAACGGCATTTCTATAGTATTTGTGGGATTTAGAAAGAATTTCGGCGGGATTTCTGGGAAGTATAGCAGATAGTTTGCAGGTACTTCAATTTTTTTATTTGGCATATTTTTGTATTTTATGCAGAGGTCAACAATATTTTTCCACTTTTTATATGTAACCAAACAAGCACTAAGTGAATTCAGATGATGGATAAATTCTACAAGATTGTATCAAATGTTAGCCAATTGTCAAAGTATTCAATTGATTGACTCATCATACATACACTAAAAATTACACTAATAAAAGCTGCTTCATCTTTTCTGAAAAAAATTAGCTCCTATTTCACCTTACTGACCCAACTACAATTTTTCAAACAATAAGAATATGGATTTTTGGATCAGCCATCTTCCTTCTTGATTCTTTCACATTAACATAGACCAGCTTATGAGATTTATCTACAAGCACTCTAAGTATGATAGCTTATTCCACTTTCTTTATCTATAAACAGTACGAAAAGCATTTTTGGAGTTTAGCACTTGTGTCCGTAGTAAAAGTTTTAGCTATGGAAAATATGGAGTCTATTCGCCCTGAGCACAGCTCATTGGTTGGGAACTTTGTCTCTATCTATGAGGTTGTGTATTCAAGTGCCGGTGCTATGAGGGGTGTGGGAGTTTGGCTTTATAAGGCTCAAAATTCCAAAAAAAAAAAAAAACATATGGAGTCTAACAGCCAACTCGTTATCCATTGGCGGAAAGACAATTGAAGTCATAAGGCAGCGCAGAGACTTTTCAAAATTTGCAAGAGACTTAAGTAAAAAAAGCAAGGCAGTAAAAATTGGTACCTGTTGAAAGAATCCTAGTGATGGAGAAGGCATCCTCAAAGCAGAAGGCCTAGCTTGGATTGGCGCAGGTGGCAAACCAGGAACATTGAATGTTTGTTGAGAACTTGAAAAGAATATTCCAGCAGAACCAGAAGAAGTTGTCTCCATTGTTGATTCAGTTGAGGGTGATGGGCAAGAATTCAGCTTCAATAAAATCGGGTCCTTCTCAAATAGTGGTTTTGCTGCTTTTTCCTTTTCCAATCTTACTTGTGAAGAAGGCATCTTCAAGGTTGATTGCTTGGCATGGATTGGTGCAGGAGGCAACCCACGAAAATTTTGTGCATTTTCTTTAACTACGAACGTCATGCCTGTATGGGCAGAACAACTCATCCTCCTCTGTGATCTATTTGAATATGATGGGCAAGAATTCAACTTCAATATGCTTGTATCTTGCTCAATCTGTACTTTTGCTTTTTTTTCTTTTTCCAACATTCTATGCAAAATTTGAGTCAAGATTGCATAACGTATATTGATCAACTTCAAAAAATTCAAAATGATTTAAATATGGTAAAAACACTGAGACGCGCCATAAAAAGATTGCTTATACTTGAAAAACAACACGTTCAGGATACAAGCAAGCAGCGTCCAATTTTGGCACATTTCCTGTTATGCCTTTTGTGGATGGCGTCTTTATCAAGGTCTGTGGGAATCGAAACAGCAAGTAAAAGAGAAAATACCAGATTTAAAATTTACAGAAATGCCATCATTGGGAAGTGACAACAAAAAAAGATGGAGATTTCAATAGTACATGTCTCCTTGATCTTTTTCCTCCTCTTCGAATTAACGTGATTTCTTAGGGAATTGACAAGATGATGAAAGGGTATTGTTTTTTTTAAAGGACCCAACGTGTCTCTAAGACTTCATTTAAGACGGCTTTTTAAAACAGCTTTTTATTAAAAAAATAATTTTTTTTACTAGAAAGCTGCATTAAGTAGTATAAAGTCATCCCAAACAAAACCTAAGTATTTCGGTTTCTTGGGATTAGAAATCATACAATCAGTAGAAGTGCAATAGTGACAGAATTGAGATGTAGGCTATTGTAATCGGGGAAAAAAGAAAAAGGACTTGAGAAGATGAATGGGAGTCAATTTCCCGTAATGTAGGATACCGAAAGGAAAAAGAGAAATCAAAGAAAAATTTTCTTTTAATTTATAATTCATAATCATCCAAATAGCATTCATTCAACTCCTATTTATAAAAAAGAGTTACAATATAAAATCAAAACTTAAATCAAATCTAAATAACTCTTAAAAATTCCATCACCAAATTTTAAAATAAATATAATCATGATAATAAATTTTAATAAAAATTGAATAAATCCTTAATAATTTAGAATATTCTAGAATATACAGAATTGTTTTCAATGTATGTCAGATATTGCATCAACTTCTATAGACCTATAGTACTCTTCTTCCAAAGAGTTAAATATAACCCCTATCTTGGTAGTTTGGCTTCTATGGAGGAGCGGGGAGGTCATAGAATCAAGGTTGTGAAAACAGGATCGGACAACGAACCGGAAGGAGAGGTTTATGATTCGACCAGGATTGAACCGAATGACATAATAAATAATATTATTCTTAAAAATAAACAAAATTAGCATTACAATATGACATATATTTTTAAATTTAATATAAATAATTTCTAATTTATGTTATAAGTTTAGATATAATTCATACTTATGAAAAGTATACAAAATTTACATTATAAAAATTAAATCTATAAATTCATGTCATATTATTTATTATTAAATAATAGATAAAAATTAAAATAAATCAATTCTTATATTCTGTAATTAAATAAAATAAAAAAATAATAGATAAAAAATAAATATTATTTGCATCATTAAATTTTAATTAAAAACATATATGTAAAATTATGTAGTACATATATAGTGAACTTGAAAATTTTACCTTAGTTTTTAGTCCCACAACACCTAGACACTATATATTAGCATTATTTTTTTCTATATAAGCATTTTGATTCGTATGGAAAAACAAATCACATGATATGTTGGGTCATGTGATAAAACATAGTTGATAAAGCATTGTTGATTCTTATTTAACTAAAATTTAAATTAATTTATTAAGTGAAATATTTAAATATAAATTTATTATATTATTTCATTTGATTAAATATGAGCCGAACCGATTCAAATTTATATGGACTTAAACGGCCCGGTTTTGCAAAACTGGCACCAGTTCGAGCGATTCTCATACGGTCAAATTTTATTTCTGTTTTATACACAGACCGAGCAGGCTGGTAGGCCGGTTCCCAGTTCAATCGGTTGAATCGGCTAGTCCGGTCCAATTTCAATAAGCTTACTTGCAATGTTGACCGCAAGCAGATGGGTAGGAGAGCAAGAATTTGTTCTGGTTAAAGATCAGTTTAAATCTATTGAGGTGGAGTTCAAAAAATGAAACATTAGCAAGCAGGATCATCAGTTATGGTGTGCCGAAGTAGCGGAGACAAAAGAGACAAGATCAAGAACCTCAAGGCCGTAGGTTGGTCGTGAACTCGGGATCAGACGGGTGGCTTGTGCGAAGTCTTACGTTTTAGCACGTACGGGTGCCTGAGGATGACAAGGCGAGCTAGAGCGTGCTCGGTGCTATAGCTTGTCATGCAGGAGTTGAAGCTGCAAAAGGCATAAGCGTGCGGTCATGAGAGGAGTAGTGGCGGATGCAGGTGCGCGTAGGTTAAAACACACGGGAGCGCAAACTGGAGCTGTGGATCGGAACACACAGAGGAGGCCGTTTGTGAGCGGGATTGGGCTCAATTCAGAGGTTTGCTCGTGGAGTTAGTGCAAGGAGCAAGTCGGATCGCAGCAAGCACACATGTGGTTCTTTGTTCCTTAAATAGGACCAATGTAAAGATTGTTGTTTATTGGTCTGATTTTAGATTATGTTGTTCCTAGATTATATCAAACTAATGTAAATCACATATATAGGATGATGTAAGTGTCTCTTATAATAGCCCACATTAAATAAAGGAAAATGTTTTTCCTATGCAAGCTCTCCCTCTCTTCTTGATCTTGAATGAGAGATGGAGAGAGATGGAGAGAGATGGAGAAGGACCTACCGAACCCCGAACCTATGCACATCAACCTGTTTGTTCGAATCGTGTCACCAAGATGCTTCAAGTCCACCAGATATGCTCCCACGTAGATCATACAACCACGCCCGTGGCACCATTGCCGTTCTTGCTCCATTGTCCGCCTCACGAGAAAGGAATTGTGAAGTCAGACCTCCTGCCCCGCACACAAACAATTCCATGTGAGCACGCTCGTCTGCGGTATCGACAACGAATGGCTCCTCTCTTTCTTGATTACAAGAACCGTTTTCTTCTTGTTTTGCCGGTTCAGCTCCACCATGCTCTGATACCACTTGTTATGTCATTCTTGGTAGAAAGAAGTTTTTCTTGAACTTTTGGGAAGAAAGAGAGAGGGACAAGGAAGGGAGAGGAATAGCAGCTCACAGGAATTCCAATTCCTTTATTAAGGGGTTATTACAAGAGGGAGTTATTACCAATGTTTAAAATTGCGTAATCAAATATTGAGGAGTTTTTTGTTCGTGAGGCGAGGCGTAAGCCTCAAGGCGTTTTGAGGCGTAAGCCTCAAGGCGTTTTGAGGCGTAAGCCTCAAAATAAAAAAATTACGTAAACATAAAATGATAAGATTTGTATATACTGATGAGTAAATAATATATAAAGCATAAAAATACGCAATATATGAAGTGAAATCAAAATATCCCGATAATAAGATAACATTAATACAATAATATATCGGTTTGCTGGGGGTCCAAGGCGGTGATTTCCGAAGGCAGCGCCCCCGAAACAAAATTTTATTATAAGAGTAATTTTGAAGTTCTGCTTATTTTTAAAGTTCGTAAGTTATTTGTATGGAAAGATACCAAGCGGTACCGAGCATGTACTTAGCAATACCGAGCATGTACCGAGCGGTACCGAGCATGTACATTAGCTTTTTTTTATTATTAGAGGCGGACGCCTCTCAACCATGAGGCGAGGCGCGCCTCAGTAAACTTGAGGCTTACGCCTCAAATCCTGAACTCATTGCGTGGGCTTTGAGGCTTAAAGGGGCGAAATTGTGCTGAGGCGCGCCTTGAGACGTGCCTCTTATTGCGCAATTTTAAACCATGATTATTACAAGGGGCACCTAACATCATCCTATACAACATGCATTTATAAGAATTTACACTAATGTGATGTCATGCAAAAACAAGCAAATCTAAATCAGACCAATACACAACCTTAGTATTAGGATTGTGTTTTTTAAGATTAGATGTAGGATTTTTAGGAGGGTGATTTCTGGAGGCAACGCCCCCGAAACAAAATTTTATTATAAGAGTAATTTTGAAGTTCTGCTTATTTTTAAAGTTCGTAAGTTGTTTGTATGGAAAGATACCAAGCAGTACCGAGCATGTACTTAGCAATACCGAGCATGTACCGAGCATGTACATTAGCTTTTTTTTATTTTTAGAGGCGGACGCCTCTCAATCATGAGGCGAGGCGCGCCTCAGTAAACTTGAGGCTTACGCCTCAAATCCTGAACTCATTGCGTGGGCTTTGAGGCTTAAAGGGGCGAAATTGTGCTGAGGCGCGCCTTGAGACGTGCCTCTTATTGCGCAATTTTAAACCATGATTATTACAAGGGGCACCTAACATCATCCTATACAACATGCATTTATAAGAATTTACACTAATGTGATGTCATGCAAAAACAAGCAAATCTAAATCAGACCAATACACAACCTTAGTATTAGGATTATGTTTTTTAAGATTAGATGTAGGATTTTTAGGAGTCATATAAATTTGAATTTAAGTTGTTTGATTTGATTTTGTTATCCTATTTTTATAAGTAGATGGTGAATGAATGCTATTTGTCTGTGCTTTAATTATGAGTTAAAGTAGGAATTTAAATTAGTTTCTCTTTGTCAGACTGTTTTTCTTCCTCATAGGTAATAGACTCTTGATTTCTCTCTCTAATCAAAAGAGCATGCATCTCGAGATTGCACTCAATATTCTTCTCTTGATCATATAGTTTTTAATGGAAAAAACTAGATTAGTATAACATAACCAAAATTCTGATTATGATGGGACTCAAAATTGTTGGATTTGCTTTGAGACAAGTGCAATACAAATTTTATTGATTACTCATATACTACACTCATATCAAAGTAAATCTAATAGCTTTGAGGCCCATATTAAGCCAAAATACTTCCAAGATACTTGAATTTTGATTTTAAAATGCCAAGAAACTTGAATTTTGAGAGACATCTCCTTGGTTTCTTTAAAAAACTGTTGCCCATATTCAATTTCTCAACTCTCTAAGTTATAAGCAAATTTTAAGAGAAATAGAAGGAGATCGATAATCTCAAACTTCTATAAAGAAAGAATAGAGATTTGAAGAAAAAAAAAATCAAAACCTTAACCCAATATCCTTAAAGCATATGAATTTCTTTCTCGTTTTTATGACCTTTGTAATCCAAATAAGCTGACCTATGCAAGATGCATAAATTATGCCGGAAAAATATCACAAGCATAAAAATTCACCTTTGGTGGTAGAAAATTTTTCTTATATGGAATTAGTGTTATGAATATATTAGCACATTTCATCAAGCCCACAAGCATCTAAGTAAGTAACATTATTATTGATATGATTTAAATATGAGTGAGTGAAGTATATGCTCTGGATGATTGTAAGACCCATATATTTTTTATTACACTAAGAGCATGCATGTTGAATATTTAACTCTTTGGACATGCTAAATATTTAAGATATGTTAATGAAGTAGTTCTATACAAGCTTATTAAAATCAGACCGGACTGGCAGGTTCGACTGGTTGAACTAGGAACCGACCAACCAACTGGTTCGATCTGTGTATAAAACCGGAATAACATTTGACCATCCAAGAACCGCTTGAACCGGCAGTCGAACCAGAGAACCGATTCAAATTTTGCAAAATAGGGTCGTGTTAGACCGGTCCAGCCGGTCCAGGCGGGACCGGTTCACGGGCCAAGATCGCAAAATTAGGCGGAGATCTCCGCCTCCTGCGGAGATCGAGCGGCCCGACCAGCCCTTTAGAACATTTTAGGAAGCGTTTTTTAGCGTTTTGAGAGGGAAATTTGAATGTAGGGGCTGTTTAGGGATTTCCTTTTGATTTGTATGCATTAAATAGTTGTTTTTCCTAGGGTTTGGACATCTTGAATTTGGCTGAAATTTGAGATCTTTATGTTAAATTTATTTATTTATAATATTATTACGAACTGTGAATCTCTCCTTCAGATTTGTTATCCAGTCCAATTTTCACAAACTTCATTACAAGTTATATTGTTCTTCTTCCACTTCACAAGTCAGCCTTCAACCGTTGTCTTATTCTTCAACTTGTTCAACAATTCCCTCATTGTAAAAGTTTGGCTTCCCGCTCTGTCAATATTCTGCTTGGACTTATCAGACGGGATTGAATTCTCCTCCTTCATCCCCACATCCGCTTCCTCCACCGGCTTCCTTTGTTTCGAGTAATATGTGACACGTCCGAGACCTGACTAGGCGCCTGCAGCACCTCGCGCTTGCACCGCTATGGGTCCAACCTACCCACACTACCGCACCAAGCTCGCGTTCGCCTCGCAACGAACCGCTCCGAAAGCTCTTCCTGCTCCCTTGAATACAAGAATCTTCCTTATTCCTCAAGATCGCCTCAACGAGGCTCTGATACTTATTATGATTCTTGCATGAGGAAGAAGAATCTCTTCTTCTTGATCTTGAATGAGAGAGAGGTGGAGAGGGAAGAGAGGGAGAGCTTGCACTGGAAAAACCTTTTCCTTTATTAAATGTGGGCTATTACAAGAGGCACTTACATAAATTAATAGATACAATATATATATAGGATTTAAATAGTATGATGTCATGCAGAAACAACCTAATCAAAAACCAGACCCACAAATAACTAAAATGTGATAAAATTAAAATATATCATAAGATAATTGATGTCATCAAAAAATTATCTTGATCGGGCACGAATTTCGAGGCAAAAATCAAGTTGGAAACTTCCAAAATTAAATCTGGGATCATCTGAACTCTGATTTCAACAAACTTAAAGTCAAACTGATCGTCTCAGAAATACAAACCCAACGACACCAAAGTCAACTCAATCTGAGCTCAAATGAGTCCAAATCAAGAACCCGAAGCATTGTTGGAAAGTTCGAACCACAATTTGAGTTACCAAACGGTTTCCAAATATGATGTTTTGATAGTCGAATCGAGCGGCTCGACGAGACGAATCCAACGAGCCCAAGATCGTCGAATTCCGACATCATTAAGACCTTCAAATGTCTGACGGACGGTACACGATCAAGAGATTCAATATCGGCCGTCCATCCAACCACTCCCCCATTTACCCTGATCTCTCAACAATTTACAAGTCATGCAACTCCATAATATCTATAAATAGACCCCTCATTTCTCATGATGAGGGGGGTCAAGCAAGAGGTAGAAGAGAATAGGAGGGAAGAAACTCCTCGACAACCGTCGGTATTCTGCCCGACTTCCACGTTACGCCGGAATTCTGCCCGATCTCCAAGTGACGCCGAAATTCCGCCCGACTTCCAGTGACGTCGAAATTCCGCCCAACTTCCAAGTGACGCTGGAGTTTCACACAAACTCCAGGTGACGCCAGAATTTCGCCCAACCTCCAAATGACGGTGGAGTTTCTCCCGAACTCCAAGCGACGCCGGAGTTCTCCTCGGCCGCCAACTGACGTCAGACTTCTACCCGAAGTCGAACCTCTGCTCGTCGCCAAGTTTCTACCAGATGTCGGACTTCTACCTGTTGTCGAACTTTCGCCGGATAAATATCAAAATTGGGATTTCCATCCATAGTTGAACTTCTACCTGACATCTTCCTTTTGATCTCCATCGTCAGACAACGAATTTTACGACCTCTATCTTCAATCGACTATGGTCCTCCTGACTTACGTCACCCACCGACTACAGTTCTTCCGACCTCCGTCACCCACCGACTACGATCCTCCAGACTTACGTCGCCCACATACTACAGTCCTTTCGACCTCCGTTGCCCGCCGACTACGGTCCTCCAGACTTATGTCACCCACTGACTACAGTCCTTCTGACCTCTGTCGCCCGCTAACTACGATCCTTCTGACTTACGTCGCCTACCGACTACAGTCCTTCAGACCAAACAAGCACATCAGCAGAGACTCTTTGCATTCTTATCATATAATGTATTATATAAGATGTACATCAACTTAAGGCCTTCCCCAAATGAAGGGCCTAATTTGTAATCAACTGCAATACTAGTGGATTCATTCAAACTAGGCTAGGCCCCGTGGTTTTTTTTCCCTTTTTAGGGATTTTCCACGTAAAAATCTTGGTGTCTCATAAATGCTATATCATCTATCTTTATCTATGTGTGTGCTGGATCTTCTTACAACGCTAAGATATTAAACTTTTTATTTCTCTACCGCCGCGAATATTCCAGGACGCAACAATAATTAAGAGCTTTCTAAAAATAATCTCGAATTATTTTTAATGTTTGCCTTGTATTGGAGCAATGAAGACTTGAAAGTTGACGTAATTAGAAAAATTCACTACTTCAGATAGATGAAGAAGGCACTAAACTAACCATCGACATTTGCAGTCCATCATGTTTTGATGTTTCTGTTATAGAGAACAAGTTGGCAGCCCTCTTGTTGCTACTTCTAGACATTCGAATTGCATGTTCTTTACTCAAAAAATTTTCTTCAAGATTATTAAGCGGCGGCCTCTTACTAGAGTTATTAAATTCCGTCATTGAAGAGCTCTCCCCATTGGTCTTCGATAAAAGTCTACTGCTTCGCCTGGTGACTGAATCACTGATTACGGACAACTCAGCTGAATCTAGCACACCTAGTTACGTAAACAAGGTCAGAACCTGAAAATCGATATTTCAAGTGGAGCTTGCATAACAAATCACCTTCTTCAGTAAAAAAGGCCGGGTTCCACGCTAAGCTTTTCCTCAAGTTCAATTTTCCATCTTTTCTACTCCTCTTCGATGCAACAGGTGACATAACTTCATTCTCAGGGCAAATGTTCTCATTGCCTCTCACATCAGGTGTAGCACAAAAATGGCTCTCTGGAAAGTACTCATTCAAGGTACCTGCATCACATTACGAATAAAAAATGTATCTTTACTCTGTAACTATTATTTAAAAAGAACAATCATATAAGCTTCCCAATTTGGTGTGAGGAAAATAAGCAGAAACCCTAACCCTAGATGAGAGGGATGGCAAACTAATAATACCCGATGATCTTCTTATCTCCATTGTGATTCAGCCACGCCGATTCAATTTCTCCACGTCCTTGAGGTCTTCTCGACCTCTTTCGATCTCTGTGAACTTCTGTATTATTTTGTTCTTCAGTTGCTTGAAATTAAATGGTATATAAGCGGGAAAATACGACGAATATTTTCGAAAGGACCGATGGTAGGAAGCACTACCGTGAAATCACATACACGATACACAACACAATACATGCGAACTAGCCAACCAGGATAAGCGCGTGAATTAGGCTTCCTTTGGCACAGCTGTTTATTAAAAAACTGCTTTAATGATTTGTAAGCTGCTATACAAAAGCTTTCACTTTCAAAAATAAAATACTTTAAAAAATAGTAAGAAATTTGTCCCAAATAAAGCCTAAGGTTTTGTTTGGAACAGCTTTCTTACTACTAAAACAACTTGTTAATACAAAAATTTCTAAATAAAATAACTTTTGTATTAAAAAGTTGTAAAAAACGATATGTCAAACGAAGGCTAAGTTTGAAATTAAAAACCAATACTATTGGTAGTTGAATGCCAAAAGTATGTATGTCAATAAATGATCCAACTCGAATCGGATAAAAAAAAATCATAATTAAATTGGCTTATTTAATTAGGTTAGGCTCAGGCTTTCCTAATAATTTATTAAATGAGTAGGATTCAAATAGATTTACGAACTCATTTTTGATCTGAAACTGATCCATATAATATTTTTCCCTTTATTTTTTTACTTGTTAGAATAATCTTTTTATTTTTTATTAAAAATCATAAACTTTGTAGTTAATAAATTAAAAATAAATAAATAAATAAGGATTAAAAGATTATGCTCGGGTTATTAAGGTTACTAGCAAGTTATGTTTATGTTGGTGTTACTGACCCTTTTTTTCAATAGGTTAGGTTCATTTAGGCTTCATTTGGAACGGCTTTCTCACTACTTCTTAAAACATATTTCTAGTAAAAAATAAAAAATTTATAATAGAACTTTAATTAGATTATGTTAGGATCAATTTCAAGTGGTACTCAACATGTCCCATCAACCCTTTTCAACACCCCAAGCTAAAGGGTTAAGTGGTTAACACATTTTATGGAATTTTAGGGAGCATTAAAATCTATAAAAAAACAGTTTCATAATATAAGGGTAGAATATTATTATTATTACTATCCTAATAATTAGATGATATATCATAATTTATATAACTATAATAGCATTAACAATTTTATTGTTTTTAAACTATGATGCCTCAAAGAATTGTTAGCCAAATTATTGAAAACTAACTGAATTACTTTTCACCATTAAAGATATAATTCAGCATCCAAATCATAAGAAAATATCATGATAAGCTGACTGTACATACCATTGGTTATTTTAATGATTTGTAAGCTGAACAAATCTGATTTCCACAATGAAATAAGGCATGCAGTGTCTATTGTTGAAATAAAGCTGCAAGCTGTTATATATTCAACAAGTGAACGACCAAATTGCGATGAAGGTAATTTCAGAACCTACTTAGGCTTCTCGTTTGGGACGATTTTTTTATTGTTTTCTAAAATGAAGTTTTAGTTAAAAAATAAAAAAAAATTATACTAAAACGGAATTTTAAAAAGCAATAAAAAAACAGTCCCAGACGAATCCTTAATAGTGGAAATCTTCTTTGACATTTTTGAAAGCGTTTTATACTTCATGGAATATCAGTACAACAATCACATTCATAACTTCACATCGAAAACATTTATAAATATGAATCTATTTGTTCCATTTGCTTTCTACTTGGATCCATCAAATCCATGGGCAAAGCCATTTTTTTAAACAAAGGCAAATTATCATTTGAAGGGCAATAAATTAGTGATAAATAAAGACAATTTCCTCCACAGCAACAGCTCCACCGTTGACAAGGGCGAATTATTACGTCCGGTGCCGGTCACCAATCCAGACGCACCACGTCACCCAAATACACTGGGACCCGATGTATTTGGATGAGAAATCCGGACACCGGACGTAATAATTTGCCGTTGACAAGACACCAGCTGAGGCAATGCAAATACCAGGTTCTATGTACAGAGAACAGGACAAAAATACCCTTAGTTTACATTTGATTATATCTACAAAAATAAACCTTAACGACGTAAGGTTCTAAGCTGAGACGAAATGAAGAATAAATCACGACCAAATGTCCGGCTGGATAACCTCTACTACTACAATTCGTATCATACGATCTTCTGTCCTCTTTGCTGCAACAAATTCCGGTAAAGATTGACTAGTCATTGGAGGAACTCAACAGGTATCAAGGAGGTAATAGGAATTTATGTTGCGCTTATTGTGCACTGATTAATATTTGAAATAATAATGGAGTGAGGGGAGAATTTATTTTTAGGCAAATAATTAGAGCTCCATAGGCAAGCACTTATTTGGTGGAAAGTGAATGGAAGTGAACCACTACATTTGAAAAAATTATTCTGTGCAGACACCAGATGCCTTTGTTGTATACTCGTTGTGTATCAAATTATATGGCGCGCTCTGATTCACCTCCAAACGATCCGGTGTCCGCACAAAATAATTTCTCCTATATTTAAGGGCTTGGGAGGCAACTTCAATTATAAATTTCTTGTTCAATATCAATATAATAGTGTATAATTAAAATATTATTGTTACTTATAGTAATAAACAATAATATAAATTCAATATATTACTTAAGTCCTTATTTTTTACATTTAGTATAAAAGGTGCTTTCTACATTATTCAATTTGAGGTACACTAGTTAATGCTATTTGATGAAGTCATCCCAATGAAAAGAAATAAGAATAAAAAATTTATTTAATAATAATAATAATAATATTATTATTATTATAGAATAAAATTGGAATATATACTATAGATTAATCACGAAGAGATTCACCTGAACTACAAGGTGACGACCAAAATCCCATTTATCCAGAGAGGTCTCCACCATGAAACTAGAGCAAAAAAAAGTAGATAGTCGAGATAATCAGTTATAAGAATGACATTAACACAATACGGAATAAGGATTACAGTGGAATCAAAAGAGCGTGGAAGAAATCAATTTCAGAGAAACTAATCAAAAGGCAAGCTTGAACAAAATAAGTCATTGAAATTGAAAAAGCTAAATGGAACAAAGGTGCACAGAGGCCCATAAAAATATCAACTTCTAAATTTTCATCCTAGTTTATTATTTTCCATTTAAAAAAAAAAATTCAGCATTCCTAGATCTCAACTTGGTATCTAACAAGCTACACAAACAATTTTCAGTAAACCTCAAAATATTCACTAAAAAAGAATGAATTTCCCTTCTCTACTTCTATTTAGCTAGTGGGTGTATAAAACGAAAAATTATTCTGTGCACCATGTCATTTTTTTTTCGGTACAAGTGCTCAGTACCGCTCGATACCGGATGATGTGGTGCATTCTAATTGATCTCCGGACCATCCGGTGTCCTCATAGAATAATTTCTCGTATAAAACTGGACAATAGCCAGCCAGCCCAACTGAACCGGGCTACAAAGCCAGTTTGATCTGGACCACCTGGTTTTTACACAGTGGAAACAAGGAAGCGTTTTTTCATGCAATAATCATAACCAACTCTAACCTCTGACTTAGGCTTTATTTGGGACGACTTTCTTACTGCTTCTTAAAGTAATTTTTTAGTACAAAATTTAAATTTTTAGTACAAAATTTAATTTTTTATACAAAGAAACTGCTTTAAGAAGCAATAAGAAAGCCGCCGCAAACGAAGCCTTAACCTAAAGAAAAATGAAAGCAACTTAATACAGAACTAGGAAATAACTTCAACAGGTATACTACAAAATTGAATTCAACTTGGTAAATCCATTCCAAGCCTAACCAATTATGTTTTCTCCAATATGAACTAAAAAAAAAGGATAAAGCGCCAGTGTTTAATCCCTGCCTCAGTGCGCTCTTAGTGCTGGTCTCTTTGGTACCATCGTACTCTTAACTATTGCTATGTGGAACTATCAATTAGCAATCAACATAATAATAATAATTCCGCTGTTGCTGTTATTAATTATAGAAGAGATTAAAACCACACACAAAATGGGCCTCGAATGAAAAGTTGTACAAAATCGTGCTGGTTCAAAATAAATATGATTGTGCTGCGTGTTATGGCATCCTCATTGGTGTGCATCAAATAAAATACATGTTAGTGTAACATATTTCACCAATAATTTATTTAAATAAATAACTTATAATTTATTCATTTAATCTAAAAGGGGTTCGATAATGTTTTTGCAGCTCAAAATATTTTTATATGATTGACATTTGCGTGCATTTGCAACCTTGAAGCATAAGAGTTATTTAATGAGTAAGAGCAAATGAATTAAATCTTTATGGTGATTCAAACAATGAAATAAAACACAAGCTTAGGCCAAGTTACTATCGAAAAAGTAAAAACCACATAATAATCAATTACACTTGACATTGCATACGAGATAAGTTTCAACAAGAAATCTCTAATCTAACAATAAGAATAGTGTTATGAAAGATCTCGCACACACTTCCTACTAAACACTAAGCTTTTAGTGGGGCTTGGCAAGATTTTGCATGAATCAAATAAAACCACAAGTAAGGATCAACGAAGAAGGTAAGAGAGAAGGAAAGAGTTCACCCTTTGCTAAGATTCAACCTTCTCGCAAGCTTGAACAGCCGTTGGTGGCGTCTTTGACGGCTCGAACAGCAACAAATCCACGCTCGAACCGTTGGACAGCAAGTTGCCAACTATGGACAGCGATTCCTGATAGTTCCAGGCAACCACGGTCGCTCCCAAAAGGGCTGGACAGCAGCGAACTGCTGCTGGAGTCTCTGAACAGCAAACAGGTGGTCTTGGACAGCAGCTCTCTAGGGTTTGGAAGGGTGGACAGCCACTATTAGCATCCAGAAATTTCTGGACAGCAAGTAGAGATTTGTAAACAACGGCATATGAAGATCGGGACAGCTTTCTCCCAAGAATCCAAGTGGGAGAAGGTAAGGGAAGGTGGCCGGCCAAGGGGAAAGGCTTGGGGAAGATTGGGCTCAGGTTTTGGGTGAATTAGGCTTAAAGTTTGGAAGAAGATCTTGGAGGAAAAAGCTGAGATTAATTCCCAAATAGAAATTCCTTGATTAGGAAGTAATTTAAGTGGGTTATTGGGTAAGGAAAGAGGGTGGGTAGGCTAGGGATGGGTTTGGAAATATTTCCAAAGTGGGAGGGCTGGTTTTTGTGAAAGAAATATTGGGGTGGTGCTTTGGAAAATAATTCATGGACTTTCCAAACTTAGACCACTTTAATTTGGAAAGATTTTATTTTCAAATTCTCTTGAATTTGAATTCAAATAATTTTCTAATTGAATAAATGTATTTGGAAAGATTTAGGCATCACTTTAAAGACATATTATAGATAATTGTAAACGACAAACATGAGACATCGACGCTACAACTCACGAGACAACAACATTTATAATTTAAAATAAAACACGACTCAGGGACACCTTGCAATTTAAAGAAATTTTGAGATGAATGATACATGTGGAGGCGGCTACCATGGATAGAAGAAAGAGATTAGAAGTTCGAGATGAATTATAAGAAGAAGAGAAGAAGAAGACAATAGCTCGCAAGCTAACAGAGGAAAGGCACGACAGCACCACAACCGAACAACCAGGAAAGGAACGGATAGGAAAGGAACAGCCAGGAGCTGAACAGCCACGAAAGGAACAGCCAGAAACCGAACAGCCACCAAGAAGTGGAGCTCGACACATAAGAACCCAGCAGCAAAGCCAAAAAGACAACACCCCAATTAGCCCCCATCCTCCAAACACCAAACAACCATAGACAAATGGGCCAAGCCCAATAGAAGAAAAAACAGCCCACTATTAAATGCCAATTTTGCCTACATCAACTATCGTCATGGTTTCAGTTTGTACCACATCTGACCAAGCTAAATCCTTACAAACAAAGGGAATCCAAATTATCTATTTACTAGGCCTTTTAGTCAGAGCCCATTTGTCATAACTCTCTAATAAGTATATTTGAGCCAACCTATATATTGGATTAGCAAGGTTATGATTCAACAAGCTGCAGTAGAAGACCCATCAAACATCTCAAAAATCTCCGACACGTACACTGCAATTTGCATACACACAAACACTAATCTGAATATTTACAAAATAATCACTTGTCATTAACTGTGAGGACGAATCGAATTTGAGGTAAAAGAAAAAATAGCAGCTTGACTTGGTTTAATCATAAAACATAAGCGGACTAGTCCAACCATAATAATATAGTACCTTATAAGGCTTCAATCTGTTTTTATTCTCGTCAAAAGTGCCATATAAAAAATTCTAGTGATAAATGGAGTCATCAGGAATCCTTGCTTATAACTTATTGAGTTAATTATATTTAAAGGTGATCTTCTCAAGTGTAGAACAAAAAGTATATATAAAGATGACTCTATGTAACTAGACTTATAAATCGGTTAAATTTGAGGAGGATCTTCTAAATGTAGAATTATTTCTAAGTAAGACTTTTGAGTTAATTGAATTTTATTTTTTGTAATTGTACACAACAACAACAACAACATCAAGCCTTTGTCCCACTATGTGGGGTCGGATACATGAATCATTTTTCTCCATTGTGTCCGGTTAAAAGTCAAATTCTCATTTAAATCTAATAAAGAAAGACCATTTCTAATATTTTCTAACCAAGTCTTTTTAGGTCTACATCTACCTTTCTTAACATAAGTCAAATCTAATACATCAACTTTCCTAACCGGATCATCAGAAGGCCTTCGTTTAATGTGACCAAACCATCTAAGGCAACTCTCTCTGATCTTATCTTTCACTTGAGCTACTCCAACCTTTTTCACGTATATGTTCATTTCGTATCCTATCTCTAAGGGTCAAGCCACTCATCCACCTAAGCATCCTCATCTCTGCAACACTTAACTTAGTATTATGCTTCTCTTTTAATGGCTAACATTCGGCACCATAAAGCATTGCAGGTCTCACCACCATCTTATAGAATTTTCCCTTAAGTTTGAGGGGGAACTTTTTCTGATCGCGCACAATAAGCCCCGATGCCATTCCTCCATTCAACATCCAACTTGAATTAAATGTTGATTATATACCCCATCAATTTAACCACACTCTGAAGCAATAGATCCAAGATATCTAAAAACGTGTACTCTTATTAATGATTGATCGCCAAAGTCACAATGCCGCTCACTAAGGTCTATTGCTACTAAAATTACACTCCATATATCTCAAGTTTTTAGATTGCTACTCAAGTGAAACCTTTAGACTCTAAAAGTTGAACTCCATAATCAAGTCAACTTCAACTCCCTCTCTAGTCTTATCAACATGTAAAGAATATTTCAAGCAAAAAGAAATACACCAAGGTAACATCCACTTGCAAATGTCTAGTGGAGAAAATGCCATGACTAAAGGCAAAAAGATATGGACTTAAGACTGATCCTTGATGTAATCCAACAAAATAGGAAAATACTTGGTCAAAACCACCTTTGGCTTGAACACAGTAAATAGCTACTGCGTACATATCCTATAAATGATTTGAATATAAGCTTGATTAACTCTTTCTTTCAAGAACTCTCCATAGCACATCTCTTGGAACTTTATCATATGCTTTCTTCTCTAAATCATAAATATCATAGTAGAATCCTCCTTTTCTCTCTATATTTCTCCATCAAACCTCTCAAATAAATGTAATGGCTTCCATAGTAGCGCTACCCCGGCATGAACCATGAACCCAAATTGATTTTTGAGATACATTAGTTATCACGCGCGCAAACTATGCTCCAATAACTCGCGTCTCCATAGGTTTTAAAAGTAATGACAGCATTAAACTTAATTCCTCTATAATTCGCAACTCCTGTGCAATCACCTTTATTCTTAAACAATAGAATTAACACACTCATTCACTCACTGATGCTAGCATCTTTTTTGGTTCTTCAAAACAAATATGTAAAAAAGTTTAGTAAGCGAAGAATTCTTCATCTCCTAAGCATTTCCACATCTCTATTGGAATATGCATACAGTCCAACAACTTTTCCACACTTCATTTTCTTTAAAGCCTCTCTAACTTTGGTTTTACTTATACGCCGATAAAAACAAAAATCTTTATTTTCATTTAGGGTGATAAAGTCACTAAAGTCAATCGTATTTTCACATTCTTCATTAAAAAGTTTAGCAAAATACCTCATCCACCTTCGTTGAATATCATCTTCTAAGAAAAGTGCTTTTTGATCTTAATCCTTAATACACTTTACTTGAACTAAATCCTTACTACTTCTATCTCTTTATTTGGCTAACTTATACATATATCTTTATCCCTCCTTAGTATCTAATCTATTATATAAATCATTAAAATCTAAGCTCTTTGCATCGCAAATAGCTTTCTTAACTTCCTTACAAGCATCTTTATAGCTTTCCCAATTATCATAATTTTTACATTTAAACCAATTTTTATAACAAATCTTTTTATTTTTTATCTGATCTTACACATTTGAATTCCACCACCAACTATTTTTACTATTAAGAGTTTTTCCCTTCGAAACTCCAAGCACATCTTTTGCAATATTCATTAATATCACAAGCCACTTTTTCCAACATAATATTGGCATCCTCATGCACAGACAAAATCTTAATATCTAAAATCCTACTCTCAAAAATACTATTGTTAATATCCTCATGCACAGACAAAATCTTAAGATTTTGTAATTGTATACAGAATAAACGAATTCAACATTTTGTAAATATAGGTATCAGCATACCCATATGCTATAAAAATGTGAGTTTTGCAGCAACCTAGGTGGAACAAAAGAAATAAGAGTTAATCATATTCTATGTTTTATATTTTCTAAGAAAATGAGACTAAGACTTTGTTTAAGATAGCTTTCTCATTGCTTTCTAAAGCAACTTTTTAATACAAAAATTGTACAGTCATCTTCCTTGATTTGAAACTGATGTACTAGTAACTCTATCTTCAATAGTGAGTTAATCGATTCGGTTATTCTATAATTTGTATGATTAAAAATAGTTAAGAATGTTTAACAGAAGATTAAGAGACTCAATTAGATGAATGATTCATATATCATTATGATAATAAATACAATATATTTGATACGAATAAAATTATATTTAATAATCAATTATAATTAAAACAATTGAAAATAAAGGTTAGGATTCAAAATGCCAAGGGTTATAACATAATACTAATAGGTTGAGAGATAAATGAATAGGATTTTGCTAAGTATAGGATCTCTTATGTATTCGACTGCTAGCAGATCTGATATTATCTATGTTGCACCGATACGGATACGGCTATACGGATACGACACGATACGGATACGGGACACGCCAATTCTTAAAAATACAGGATACGGATACGGCGCGGATACGGCATTATAATATATAAATAATACATAAAAATTAAGAAAGTAATCAAAGTGTAATATTTGAAATGACAAAAAAATTGAAATAAAAGTAAGTCAATACTGAGCGGTACCAAGTTTCAATACCGAGCAATACCGAGTTCCAATACCGCTCGGTACCGAGTAGTACCGAGCAATACCGAGTTACAGTACCGAGTTCTAATACCGAGCGGTACCGAGTTCCAATACCGAGCGGTACCGAGTTCCAATACCGAGCGGTACCGAGTTCTAGTACAGCTCGGTATCGAGCAGTACCGAGCAATACTGAGTTCCAGTACCGTTCGGTACCAAGTGGTACCGAGTTTCGATACCGAGCCTATGATTAAGAAAACGAAGAACGACGAAGAAAACAAACCTTCACTGCTCATGTCGCCTTCACTGTTCGTGTTGTCGAGCCGCTCCGTCGACGAAGGATGATCCTATCGACTTTAATGCTCGCATCGTCAAGCCTCTTTGTCGACAAAGGATGATCCTGTTTGCTTCTATACTTGCGTCATCGAGCCGCTCCTTCAACTATAACAAAGAAGATGAACACTTGTGTGGAAACGAAAAACCTAGCTCTTTGAAATGTTTCAGCCGCATAAATGAATATGGATATTGAGCGGAAACGGTTGAAAGCCGAAAAGAATAGGGTAAATTGCGTCTCCGTGTTTTTTTTTTTAAATAGGACACGCGTATCTGATACGCGTGTCCAGTCAAATTTAAATAATATTTTAATTGGACGCGGCAAAGCCGTATCCGACACGTATCCGTGCCGTATCGGAGGCGTATCCGTATCCGACACGTGTCTGATACAGCACGCCTCGGAAATAGGAGTATCCGTGCAACAAAGGATATTATGTTTAGTGTTTGTCTTTGTGTTAGGTCTCAAAATGATCCTAAGGAGTCCCATATGACTATTGTTAAGAGAATTCATAAATATCTTCTAGGAACCCAAAACCTAGGAATTTGGTATCTTAGACATAGCCCGTCCTTTAAACCTTTAAAATTATAGGATACTCCGAGACTTTGCAGGATGTAGAATTGATAGAAAAAGTATCTCTAGAACCTGTCAATTCATAGGACAATCCTTAGTCTTATGGTCCAATAAAAAACAAAACTCTATACCCCATCTAAATTAATGATATTTGCGGCCAAGTATAACACCAATATATTCCGCCTTCTTTTTCAAATATTCAATAACTTGAATTAAATAATTTAATCAGCCAATGCATAAAGCTAACAAAAATAACAACAATCGCAATGACGATGTTTATTTGATTAAATCAATCTAACATCAACAATAACATTTTTAATATGCATTTTTCAAGAGAATAAATTTAGTAGGATCAAACTAACATCAACTACATTTTATTAAGAATTATTAAATATCACATGATTTTGAAAAGAAAAATCTCTATGGATAACTAAATGATAATATATGGAAAATAATGAAATGTTGCAAAGTAAAAAAATTACTAGAACAATTAGATTCAACCAAACAACATCAGTAATGGTTGAAGCGTTGGGACTCACACTCAACCAATTTAGTATTCAAATGAAGCCTTATAAGGTACTATATTACACCAAATAATAGAACTCAACTAAGTTGGATTGAAGTTGGAAAAAGATAAATGATGGGTTCACGATTAGGTAATCAAGCTAATCAAAGTTAGATTGAAGGCTGCCCAGTATTATTATATAAATTAGTTATCTTTGGACTCCAAGTAAGATGGTGAAATCGCACCTCAAAGTTAACTTTCACATTTACAACTCAATTAAATTACATTGTATAAAAGAAAGAAAATCTAGACACCCTGCATAGTTATCCTAAGTAGTTATAATTAAAATCAATATCCCAAGAAGTTATATATACTTAAATTTAAATCATAGTCACATTTGGTCATGCTCTTTTAATTTCAAGGATGACAAAGAGCCTTAAAAGTGACTTTTAATATTATTTTATATGAACTAAATTTAACTAGCATTGACTTTTTTTTTTTTTGAAAAGATAACTAGCATTGTCTAAGGCATGAATAGTGTCACACTCCATGATCTATATTGAAAGAGTTACACTTGTCTTTCATTTTAACCATTTAACTAGAGCTTACTAATGAACAACGAAAAAAAACATGATTGCATTTTTAATCATGCAAAATTTTACATTTAAGGAAAAATTAGTTGCTTCTAGTCTATATAGTCCTCTCAAAATTTTCATCTATTTGTGGGTGAAAGAGTCTATTAAAATTAAATTTAGTATCCAAACCTTATTATTTTTCTTCCATAGTCTAGAAGTAAACCTTCCATCTTTATCAGATACAATAATTTTAGGTATACCATGAAACCTGACAATCTCTTTTAAGTAAAATTGAGCCAACCTATCTATGGGATTAGTTGAGTGAGATGATAAATGTATCATGATGTACTTTTTCCATGAAAAAATTTGAATATATAGAAATATATAATTTCTTTAAATTTTGAAATATTTAAATGATAAGATAATGATGTAATAATTATGAAAAAATAATAATTTTGAGACTAAAAATAAATAAATTCATACATAAATAATATATTCTATAATTTTAAAAATAAATATAAATAATTATTAATTTATGATATATATTAAGTATAAATAAATTACTAATAATACTGATTAATAAATGATTATTTCTATTAAATGTGAATTAAAATTAATAATTGGGACTTATTTCTATTAATAAATAATTATTTCTATTAAATGTGAATTAAATGATTTTGATACTAGGATTGTGCCATGGAGGGCTTGCTCCACTGTTAGTAGATTTAATCCCAAGAGAAGAAATCATGGGGACTCACACTTAACCTTAAGGATTAAAAGATTTTGATTTTGATCATATAAATAACAAACTTTCTCATCATTATGTGACCTGAACAAAAATTGAAGCATTTTAGTAAAATGGCAGTACAAATGATTCCTATAGTGGCTAGTTCTTCTAAGTGAATACCAAAAACAAAGCAGACATTCAAAAAGCTTTAGGCCTACCATCCCATTTAATTTGTTCATAGAAACAGCATTCATACTTGTTATTCATCCTAAAATTTTAACTCATCCATAAAATTATAGAGCAAAACAATTTGACGGATATAAATTTACCTGAGATTGCATGTAAGTCATGCCATGAGCAAAAGAACTGTGATTAGGCATCTGCAAATCCATTTTACAGCTCAGCCAATTAAAGACAACAAGAAACAGGAATGGAAACAGAATTACAACTAGATTAAAAACATCAAATCAACTGTGGAAAGTACCTTCAACTCCACTTGCGTGCTGGTACCAGGTTGATTTGCAACTTGAAGGCCTGTTGCTTCTCTTTTACCAGCGTTATCTGCAACCTTGGTAGACAACTTGCTATCACCCTGCCAAATATGAAGTAAAATGGAACTTATTAATAAGTTAAACGACCTAGAAGAACAGGGATTAAAAAGCATGTCTTCCAAATGTCAGTCCACTTTCACAGCGGAAGCATTTGTTCACCTTTTTTGCTTTTGAAAGAACAAACGAGTTATAATAGCAGTAAATTTATTGGTAAAGACAAAGACAAAATATGGTGAATTAAAAAACTCTTTATGATTTCAGCTGTTGCCTCCCCTTTCACAGCACCTACTCGGTTGGAAGAATGGAAATGCATAACATCCTTAATTAACTTAAGCAAAATCAAGTCCTCAATAAATGCTTCAAGCCTGTCCAATGCCTATTTCGCATCGCTCTAATTTCCATGTGTGGTCCAATGCCTATTTCGCACCGCTCTAATTTCCATGTGTGGTGGCCCAGAATCTTGTGTTGTCCATGAATTCTACATTTCCATATTTACACTAATTTAAACAATAATTCAGTCCATAGATATATCTCCAATTAGTCTCAGCATTAACAGCATATAAGAAAGAAGGGAATCAAATGCAATTTAATTATTTATATTTAAGTCTCTTTATTGTTTTTATATATATGTATATAAATGCCATGTAAGACAACATGAAATGCAAGAGACGATTTCCTCTCTTAGAAATTATGCTTCATGGTATTAGAGTTAGTTTTCAAGTGATAATATGATGTCACGTGGAGATCATGGAGCTCCATGAATAATAGGCCGCCGCAGAGAAACTCTCCTCCATGAGAAGCGTATCCTTCTGTCATGTCACTTTGGATCATATTGTCATCCCATGTATGACAATCAATGCCTCCAAATCACTCAACACAAACTAAATAGAAATAATTTTTGTGAATGGTTAAAATAATTTAACATTGGCGTTGCCAGGTCCCAAGTTCTGGATGAGAAAAATCGAGAGTTGCGTTAGGTAGTCGACAGCCAATGAAAAATTCGTCAAATAATCATGACATGAATCATTTAATACATTTTGTTAATGCTAGGGCGTTTCTTGGAAGCGAAGTGTTGAATGACCAGAATACAATGACAAGTATGCAGGGGCCGCTACACCGGCACCCAGGTGCAATGTTAAATAGGTAAGGGTTCCCACATCATGGACGAATGTGGGCAAAAAAGCTAGTCCATAAAACAAAAATTAGGATATGACTTGAAATATAGATTCTCTTACAAGCAAATTAATAGAATTAATACATATTATGATTCATATGAATATAAATATTCTATACATTCATAAAACTAAATGTGTTAGGAAGAATGCTAAGGAGATTGATGACTTAGAATTTAAACTAATGTATTCTAGTAAGAGTCATATTAGAAATGGTGTAGTAAGATTCTAGATAAGAGATTAAAACATAATGTTGTAAAAATTAATAGAAATAGAGATAGAATTATAGCTTTAAAGATTGTTGTTGATGCTAAGATTATTAATATTATAAATACTTATACTCCTAAAGTAGGTTTAGATTTGGGTTCAAATTAATATTTTGAAATGACTTAGAAAAATTAAAACAAAAGATACCTCTTAAAGAAAAAAATTTATTGGAGGAAATTTGAATGGTCGTGTTGGTAGAGAAGTAGATGATTTTAAAAACATTCAAGGTAGCTATGAGTTTGGAGGACTAACGAAAGTGGTAAGATCATATTAGATTTTTCTTTAGCTTATAATTTTGTAATTATTAATATCTTATTTAAGAAAAATGATAAGTATCTCAGCACTTATAAAAATGGATATAGTAAAACTCAAATATATAAAAAAATATATCATTTTTATTGCAATGATTGTAAAGTTATTCTGAGTGAAATTTTATGTACCAAACATCACAAATTAATTTTAGATTTTTAAAATATGAAGGGGCAGAAAATAAAAAATAAAGTTAAACATTGTTCTACAATTAGATATGGGCTTTTAATGAATATTAAATAAAATATTTTTGAGAGTAAGATATTAGATCTTAAGATTTTGCATGTACATGAGTATGAGGGTAAACATAGCTAGTGAAATTAAAAATCTTGCAAAATATGTGCTTAGAATATCAAAAAGAAACGCTACTAATAATAAAAAAGTTGGTGGCGGAATCAAAATGTGTAAGAAAAAATTAAAAATAAGAAGATTTGTTATAAAAAATGGCTTAGAGGTAAAAATTCAAATAATTGGGAAATATATAAAGAGGCCCGTAAGGAGTCTAAGAACGTAAAATGCAATGCAAAATCTTTTCTTGTAATGATTTATATAATATATTAGATACTAAGAAGGGAGAAAGATATATGCATAAGTTAGCTAAACAAAGAGATAATAGTAAGGATTTAATTCTAATGAAGTGTATTAAGAATAAAAATAAAAAAGAACTTTTATTTGAAAAAAATATTCAACAAAGGTGAGTGAGATATTTTTTTAACTTTTAAATGAAGATTATGAGAATGTAATTGACTTTAGAAACCTTAGTACCCTAAATTAAAATAAAGATTTTTGTTTTTATCAGCATATTAATAAAATCGAAGTTAGAGATGATTTAAAAAAAATGAATGGTGAAAAAGCTGTTGGACCTTATAATATTCCAATAAAGGTGTGAAAATGTTTAGGAGATGAAGGAATTATTGGTTGACTAAACTTTTTAATATTATTTTGAAGACTAAAAAGATGTCAGATGAGTGGAGAATGAGTGTGTTGATTCCTATTTTTAAGAATAAAGGTGATGCGCAAGAATGTGTGAATTATAGAGAAATTAAGTTAATGTTTCATACTTTAAAACTGTGGGAGAGAGTTATGGAGCATATGTTGCGTCGTGATACTAATATTTCTCAAAATCAAATTGGATTCATGCCAGGTAGGTCTACTATGGAAGCTATACATTTATTGAGAGATTTGATGGAGAAGTATAGAGAGAATAACGAGGACCTACATATGATATTTATTGATTTAGAGAATGCATATGATCAAGTTTGTTCCAAGAGAAGTGCTAAGGAGAGTTCTAGAAAAGAAAGGGGTTAATAATGCTTATATTAAAGCCATTTAGGATATGTATGCAAGAGCTATTACTTGTATTCAGACACGAGGTGTTTTGACCAAGTATTTTCCTATTTCGGTTGGATTACATCAAGGATCAGCCTTAAGCCCATATATTTTTTCTTTAATCATGGATGTTCTCACTAGACATTTGCAAGAGGTTGTACTCTAGTGTATGCTTTTTGCTGATGATTTTCTTCTTGTTGATAAGACTAGAGACGGAATTGAGTGTAAACTTGAATTATGGAGGTCATCAACCTTAGAGTCTAAAGACTTTCGTTTGAGTATATCTAAAACTAAATATATGAAGTGTAATTTTAGTAATAATAGATCTAGTGAGGGGGATTATGACTTTGGATGATCAAGTCATTAATAAGAGTACATGGTTTCGATATCTTAAGTCTATTGTTCAGAGTGATGGTGAAATAGATTGGGATATTATTAGTAGAATTCAAGTTGGATGGTTGAAGTGGAGAAATGCATCGCGCCTGTTGTGTGATAGAAAAGTCCCCTTCAAACTTACGGGAAAATTCTATAAGATGATGGTTAGACCTGCAATGCTTTATGGTGTAGAATGTTGGCCATTAAAAGAGAATCATGATATTAAGTTAAGTGTTGCAAAGATGAGAATGTTGAAGCTGATGAGTGACTTTACTCTTAGAGACAAGATACAAAAGGAGCATATACTTGAAAAGGTTGGAGTAGCTCTAGTGGAAGATAAGATTAGAGAGAGTTGCCTTAGATGGTTTGGTCACATAAAACAGTTGCCTTTTGATGACCCAGTTAAGAAAGTAGATATATTAGATTTGACTTATGTTAATAAAGATAGAGGTAAACCTAAATAAGACTTGGTTAGAAAATATTAGAAATGATATTTCTTTATTAAATTTAAATGAGAATTTAACTCTTAACAGGACACATGGAAAAACAAGATTCATGTAGCCGACCCCACATAGTAGGATAAAGGCTTGATGTTGTTATTGTTGTTGTTGTTATTATTGTTGTTAAAATAGGTCATGCTTGTGATAAGAGGAAGAGGGAAGGCTAGATACCTGATGGGGATCCATAACAAAACAATATGGTTAATTGCAATTCTTCGGAAGCAGAGAATTCTATTATTATAGCTTGGCACATAAATTCCTTGGAGCCAAAAATAGAAGAATCTACCTCTCCAAAATTGCAAAAGAAATATGGGATGTTGTTCAAGAGATTTACTCTAATATAGAAAACAAAGCCTAGTATTTTGATATCATAAAAGAAATCAGAAATACCCAATAAAGTAACAACAATGTCCATGAACACTACAACTCCTAAACTAAATATTGGCAGAAAATGAATCTATTCTATGAAATTGAATGGAGTCGTTTAGTGATGCAGAAAAATATAGAAAATAATTGGGGAAATAATGAATATTTGATTTCATTCAAGGTCTCAACTCTCGCCTAGAGAAGTTTGGAGAAGATTACTTGGATATCCCTCTTCCTACAATTAGGGACTCTTTGTTGAAGTAACGAGAGAAATAAAAAGGTGGGAAACAACGAACCAAATACTAAACTCATTAAATACCCAAAACTCAGCACTCATTAGCTCCACAATAATGGCTGCCTTCAAAAGGTACGAAGGTGAAAGCTCCCCAGTCAAAGAAAAAAAGGGGTGTTAGCATTGTCACAAGCTATATCACACCCATGATTAATGTTGGAAGATACATGAGAACTCAAAAAAAAATTGGATGCCTAAAATCCAAAAAGGGGTGAGCATGATGGCTTATATTGCAGAAACAAATCCAACACAATCTCTTGATTTCACATCTAAGCAAAAGGAGAAACTCCACCAACTACTTAATCAACCAAAGAAAAAGAATGAAATCAAATCTCAATACATAAAAAATTCTATAACTTTCATTGCTCAATAAGGGAATGCAACTTATTCCTTACTCTTCAAAATTAACACAATTTGGATTACTGGCACAAGGGCATAAGATCATATGACAGGATCACAAAAATCATTTGAAACTTACACTAAGATTGATTACCCTATCAATGTTTGAGTGGCTAATGGTAAGAAATCTCCAGTTGTGGGATGAGGATCCAGTCATTTATATTATTGAAGGATGCTTTATGCGTGCCTAACTTAACTTACAATTTATTATTAGTTAGTAAGTTGACAAAAGACTTGAACACTTAACTTACAATTTATTATTTGTTAGTAAGTTGACCAAAGATATGAAATGTAAAGTAACATGATTCTCCTCTCATTGTACATTTTAAGATAAAGCATCGTGAAAGATGATTGGCAAAGCTGATTAAAGAAATGGGCTATGCTACCTTGTCAAAACCAAATCCCTCCTAACCTCCCAAATAGAGTGGATCTCTCTTGCCTCCTCAAACTACAATTTTGATTATTCCATAAGCGTTTGGGGCATCCAAGTTTTTTTCGATATGAAAAATCTTATATCAAAATTTATTTATTAACAATGAAAATTTCCCTCAAATGCAAAATGTTCATGCTTGCTAAACAAACTTGAAATAATCCTTCACCACAATCATACAAATAATCCAAAGAGTTTCACCTCATTCATAGCAACATTTGAGGACCTATTAAAACTACTAATTTAACAAGAACTTAATGGTTCATAACTTTCATTAATGACCATGCAAGGGTATGTTGGATATTACTCATTAGAGAAAAATATGAAGCCTATTTTGTGTTCATACAATTCCATGCAAAAACATGTTTCAAAATTCTATCCAAATCCTTCGTACAAATAACATGAAAGATTTTTTTTCTTTCACATGTTCACTCAATATTTGAATGAAAATTGGCTTTATCATCAAAGCTCTTGCGCTTATACGCCTTAACAAAATGGGATAGTTGAAAGAAAAAAAAATCATAATGTATTGGAAATGACAACATCTAGCAGGTTAGAACTCTTCTAAGTTTCCTTCGTGATGAATATGCTCACTTAAGAATTTTAAATACATTACCTCCAAGAGTTTTTTGGTGTAATATTTTTGTACCCAACCACCAACAAAATCAAACTAAACTCGATTCAAAGATAGTTAAATCCATATTCAATGGAAACTCCCCAACTCAAAAGGGTTGTAAATATTACTCTCTAGCCCTAAGAAAATTCATATGTTAATAGATGACACATTACTAGAAGCCAGCACATTGAAGTAATAATGAAGAATATCGTTAGGATTCCACCATCTCCCATCTTAAATCTCAAAATATTTCTTAAATCCATTGCTTTACATATAAATCCCATTTCCTACCCAACTTAAAAGAAATTAGCCAAGGGGGTGAATCTCTTATGGAGAAACTCATTATAATATATTCAAGGCAACAAAAAATACAAAAATAAAGCCAATCATCAACCTTTGAGGATGCTCCAGATGAAAGAGTTGTAAACCATAACCTTGATTTACCTATTGCATTTAGAAAAAGAACAAGCAATCGTACCTAACACTATCTCAAATTATTTGGCATACTCTAAACTCTCCACAATTCAAGGCTTTTACTATATAGTTCGATGAGTTTGTATTAACCACAAATGCATATGAGGCACTTCTAAATACAAAATGAAAACAAGTTGTGCTTGAAGAAATGAAGGCTCTTAAAAAAAATAAATTTGGGATATTATCAACTATCAAAAAAACAAGTGATTGGAAGTCAGATCTCCTAAAAGAAACTAGAAAATTAGGACGTAAAACCGTGGTTACTCCACTCGAGAATGATTAGAAGAAGAAAGGAATTGATGACAAACCAATTGTGCATAAGAAAGGATATCAAGGCTGGTCTGCAGGCTTATTATTTATCAATATCAAGACCAAATAAGCAGTGTGTGCGGCACGTCAATCAATGCATTCACCGACTCAAAAGTGCTAAGATTGTGTAAATCATATATTGAAAAACCTTAAAGGAAATCCAAGTAGAGGCTTAATGTTCCACAAAACCCAAAAAAGGAACATAAAGGGATACATTGATAAAGATTGGGTAAGGGGTGAGAGTAATAGATCCACCTCAAGTTTTTGTACCAAATTATGTGGGAACCTTATAACTTGAAGAAGTAAAAAATAAACCATGGTGGCTATAAGTAGTACTAAAGCATTCATGCCATTATACAAGGAGTGTGTGAAGTAATCAGGTTGGAAAGGTTGATGGAAGATTTATAAACACAATATATATTATACAACTCTCTATAGTGACAACAAATCAATTATGAACAATCCTGTTTAACATGATAGAATGATGCATGTAAAAATTGATCAACTATTTACAAAGGGAGATTGAGAATGGTGGAATAAAACAGGCTGATATTCTCACAAAAATATTAAACAGGGGGCTTTTAGAATAAATGTTGGATATTAATGATAAATATCTATTCCAAAACTTGAGGGAGAGTGATGGTAAAATCAATAAATAATAATTATTTTTACATTAAGAAAATTTGGAATGAAAACTAAGATATATTTGAATTCAAAAACTTCCCATGAGTTCAGCTATTGTCGACCCTTAATTGTGTCTTCTTGGTAGTAAGCATGGAAATGCATAATAGCCTTAATTCACACATTCAGCAAAATCAAGTCCTGAATCCATGCTTACAATCGGTCCACTACCAATTTTTCCTGGTACTAACTTTCATGTGTGTTAGCTGAAAATCTGTTGTTGTCCATAGGGGTTAACCATTGACATGTTTATTCAAATTTGAGCATCAATTCATTCAATAGATGCAGCTCTAATTAGTTTCAACATGCAAGCCAAATAAGGAAAAGGAAGGCTAGTAAACATATTTTAGTCCCTTTACTGTTTTATGTAAATTTGAATAAAGACCATATCATACAACATGAAACGTGAGAGAAAACTTCTTCTCTGAAATTATACTTCATTCAGAATTCAACCAACTATTCTTTCTAATCTTTGGAAAAAAAAGGTGTATCCAACAAATTGCATAATTATCTGTAGAACTTCGATACTCCAATAGATTCAAATGTAGCGAAGCAGCACACAAAAAAATTAAGTCGAGCAACTTTGGATTCTAAATTTTACAACAAGACAAACCAAACTTCTAATCATTAACTCCCTTACACTTCACGTGGCATAACATCAAAGCACAATCGGAAAATGCTTTAAATCAACGAAATTTAAAAAAAATAAAAATAAAAAAATAATAATAAAAAAAAAAACAGAATGTCTAAAGGTGTAAAGGAAATAACAACATTACCTCCATCTGCATATTGACGCATCCGTCCAAGTGCCACCAAACGCACCAAAAGTGGGTCAAAATTCACGATTAGACGCGCCAATAGAACAAAAGGAAAACAAAAAACCAAATCAATCGTTTCTCAATAGTTACATCTTATTATTCAAGAAAATCACCTCCCTATACTTCTGCAGATATAATTTCAGCGGCTCGATGTACTCTTCAAACCCTAGTGTCGCCATCGCTGACAGCAGATCATCCCCGTTTATCGTTTTCCTCTTTTCCCTCTGACACTTCTCGCTCGCCCTGCATCATCAATCCCTTCATCGTACACGAAACAAACAAGAAAAGCCAAACTAAAAGTACAATAAATTCCACATGTTTATATAAACGGGAGGGTTAACTCGCTGGTGATGAAACTAATGAACTCCGAGACGCACTCCTGCGTGGTCTCCTTAGCATCCTTCGCAATCTTTCCGTTAGCAGGGAGCGCCTTCTTCATGATCCGGCTAATGTTGGCGACTGGGAGAAACCGGTCCTGCTCTCGGACGTTGGATCTCGGGCTGTGCTCGCCGTTCTCGCGGCTCCCATCGCCGGGACTTGCCATCGCCAAAAACCTAGAACCGCCGCCGCGGCTTCGCCGGCCGGCGAAGGAGAAGAAATCAGAAACGACAACTTCGACATCCCAAATAGCGGCTTCGGAAACCCTAGCAAGCATACGCTTTATGAGTACGTACAACTGCGTACCTCGATCAATTCGCGCGCGCGCGCGTGATGAGGAAGGGAGGAGAGAGAAATCGGATCTTTTTTTCTGGATCGTTGCTGCGCTGCTCGGAAGCGGAGAGGGAAGATCGGACGCTGGAGAAGACAGCAGGAAGGAGACGACTGAGATGAGAGATCTCGCTGGAAGCTCGGGTATCTGCACCGTTCGTTAAGAGCCCTCCCTCTCTCTCTCTCTCTCAATATTTATAGCGATGGGTTGTTTTAATGGGCACCGTTGCTCTCGGTGGAAGCTCATATCATCACCGTCGGTTAGGCTATTTTTCTTAAGCGGAATAAATTAAGAGAGGCCGTTAGAATTAGTATCATCAAATAATAATAAAAATATTACTATTATTATTTTAATAGTGTGTTTTACTGTTTTGCTTTGATTTCATCACAATTGTAATTTTAATTTAAATACTCTAATAAATAATAGTTCATAAAATTATATTTTATGTGCTCATAACTTTAAAATATAAAATATTATAGTATTAGTAAGATAATATTAGTATGAATTGAGCTTAATTAATTATATATTATATGCTAACAAATCAAACATATATGCTTATTATCAAATAACTTCCTCTTAACATCATTATTTGTTTAGTTACTCATTTTAGCCATTATATTATCAAACCAAAATTAATATCTAAGTCTTGTTATTGTACTAAATAATGCAGCTCTAATATTAATTTAGACTTCGTTTGAGATTGCTTTCTTACTACTTTTTGAAACAGCATTTTAATATAAAATTTTTTAGATTAAGAAATTTTTATATTAAAAAGCAATAATAAATCGGTCCAAAACAAAGCCTTAATATTGTCGGTATGCTGGGAAATAGGATTGGCATGGTTAAAATAGTGATGGAAAACCCCATAATGTTAATCATTCATGTTAAACGTTAATACTAATTAAGTTCCAACAAAGGCCCCTAACTAACAAGTGAGGTTAGTAGAGATAGAACCACCAAATTTACAGCTAGAATGAGTCCTTCCAGGCCAAGCTCAGCCTCTAGTTCCAACTAAGCATTGGAATTTAAAGCCTAAGCTCGCATCAATCATGAACTTAATAAGGAACTCAAAGATCATCTACTATTGCAAAATAGGGAAGCAACTGTCAATTTGTTGCAAACCCTCTCAAAAGAGAAAAAATTATTCCGTGCGGAATCCGAACGCATACGGATGCGAATTCGGACGAGCCACATAACTGGGGGTCAGTGCATCCAATGATGTGACGCGTTCGGACGCCGCATTTAAAAATCTCTCCTCAAAGAGGTACGATTGTCTCATCTTAATGGTCCAATTCTCATTGGTGGCTATAATTAAGTCCAAAAATCTGAATAAATTTCAAATACAACTTCTAAATTTAATTTCAATAATCCAAATCAAAAACTTGACCAATGAGACCAGAGATAAGAGGACAAAGAAATAAATTATAGATCCACTTTTAATAAGAGATAGGCTAAACAAAAGCTGACTCGGCAACTTATACTAGACTTATTGGCAGCTCAAGCTCAACCTTTTTTGAGCTAAAAAGCTGTTTTATGGCCGTTCGATAGCTCTAGTGGTTATGCTGCAACTTATACTTTCAGACTTTCCACTCAATATTCTAAAAAATAAAACTAAGCTAGAGCTAGGCTCTTCAGATTCACAATCAGTAAGCAGATTTAAAGAACAAAGATCAATCTCAACTTCAAATAATTATTCTGATATGCAAACAGCTTCTCTCAGTCGAAGCACCATGAGCAAGGAAAACACATGATGCAATGCTGCAATTAAGTACCTATTTTAACAAATTTATAGAGTCCACACCTTAGAATTTCTTCAAGAAATGTAAGTTGGCATGAAAGAGATGGATTCGAGACTGTGATCAAAGCTCTTATTCCCCAGGAGCAGAAACGCCCTGTCTGAGCCTTTCTTTCTTCAGCTTTTTCTTGGAGATGGGCTTCTTCTTCTTTGGAGGAAGTGTCTTTTGGGCATAAACGTAGAGAGCGTAGTTGCCAATGAAGAATAGAAGCAGCAAAGCAACTACAACGAGCAGAACAATCAGTGCAGGGTTTAAACCTTTTGATTCTCCAACAGTGTTGTTTCCCTGCTCAGTCTGCCTCAGGTTATTAACACCAAAATAATATGGAATACTAACGGAAAATATAAATTGAAAAACAATGAAATAAGGGATTGCTCGTCAAATTTTAAAAACATAAACAAATAAGGTAACATGTGAAAAATATAAGCTTATGAAAGGAAAGGCGGATTATTTAAAAAAAAATTATCATATCAATGGACATGTTAATCTAATCAAAATCCGGGAAGACTTTGTGATGCGTGTCCAGGGTAACGTTATATTTCCTCAAAGATGCTCCAAGCATTTTGTTCTAAGAACAGTAAACAAAAACATGAGAAATTTAAATTTATCAAACTCCGGTTCATATGCACAAAAGTGAAAATAGGCAGAAGTTTTTTTTTTTTTTTATCTAATGAAAAGCATAAATCTCAAGCTGAACAACCAAATTACAAATCATCATCATCATCATCATCAATCCAAAAAAGGAAACAATAAATAAAATTCATTAAAAAAAACTTTATTGATCCTTTTCATATCAAAACATAATTTATATACAGAGCCTACAAAAGGAGAGATTATTCTGTGCAGATGCCGAACGAGTTCACCGTCTGGAGACCAACCAGAATACGCCATGTCAGGGGTATTGAGCTCGGTACTGAGTCGCAATACTGAGCAGGAGGTGACGTGGCGCATTCTGATTGGTCTCCAGACGACCTTCAGAGTCCGCACAAAATAATTTCACCTGCAGAAGGGGCAATTCTCCAAGTCATTGGATTTGAGAAAAATGTGGAATCCTTCAAAGCAATTAGATTGATGTTGAAATGCTGACCCAAATTGATTCAATACAAAAGTTAAAAAGAATTGAATATCTCAAATTATGGGATGGTGACAAAGTATAGGAATATTAAAGGTTGAGAAAACAGCACAATTGAAGCCAAATATGCCTACCCTATCACCTTGCGCACAAACAATAAAAAAAACAAATCAATTTTCTACATCAGGCTACTTTTTCATATGAAACAAACATTCAGAATGTGCCCAGCAAATTCAATTCCAATTTATCCTACCAGAAAAAACATGGCCATCGCTGTTTAGGATATTCTCGCTCTAGAAAGCAATAGTATCACAAAATGTGAGGTAAGAATGAATGGCATTTAACATGCAAAAAAGCTACCCGTAAGAAGAAAAAGTCATTCGGATGTTACATATCAAGATGTAAATTGCACAATTTAAAATTTAATAAATTACGTAATCCATGAGTCAACTGATCAGCTGACAAATTCCCCCACCCTCTAAGAGATTACTCTGTGAGGACACCGGACGGGAAGAACCGTCCAATTTTATCTCTGTGATCAGTAAAAGCACAGTTCATTGTTCACAGAAACAAACCGGACGGTTCTCCCCATCTGGTGTCCGCACAGAATAATTCATCCTCTAATGGAGAGCTCGAGGGATTAAGTCATTCAAGAGAAAAGTATATTATTTACAAAGTATCCAACTTAAACAAAATAGCACCTTGCAAAATTCTAAAATCCTTATTTGCATGGCACTCATTCATGCTTGGAGGATTAAAAAAAGGCAGTGAAGAATTGTATACGGTTTAGGATTTACTAATGTAAATTTAAGTGATGTGAAACAAAAAAAAAAACAAGGCCACAATTTGAAGTTGCCGAACTCTTATTTTACGGAAACAATTAGTCCCTTTTGATACACAATCCGAACACACATTTAATATGCTCCAAATAATAATATAAAAATCAAGAAAAAACAAAATTCTACAGGAAATCTTTAGGCTGGATGTAAATTTCCACAACAATTAAAATTCACACCACCAAAAATAAAATTAGTGTGTAACAAATTTAATAAGATATCAAACATGTACAAACCAATCAAAAATAACTTTAGAAAAAGCAACTACTGAAAATTGTCTTTAAGACTTCCAAAACATTTCAAGAATCCATATTTACAACACACTCCGAAAATTCAAAGAAAATAAAATTTATATAAAAAAATTACTTCGTTCAATGGGTATTTATAAACCAAAAACCAAATTAGTACCTTCTCAGAATCCTCCAAGATCCAATTAAATACAAGTTTGAATTTAGCATCATCAAATTTCAGCAAGACACCAATTTTCCAATCTCATCCAACAAAATAGTAACTCTCGATTTACAGCACAGGTCAAAATCGCAGTTAACAGGCTAATCCCAATTATAATACCAGAATTAAGGACATAGAGCAGCCAACTTAGCTACACTATTAAAATGTCAAAGAAGGAAACTACCAACCCAACATTGCTATAATAAGGAAAGTCAAAGACAAAAAATAGGAAGGATGAGAACACCCAATCAGCGAAAATAACAACAATAATCGACCAAATAGTTGCTTGGAAGCGACTGAAAGGAAACCAAAGAAACATATCACATATTAAAACAAGGAATCGAAAACTGCTAAACAAGAGAATCCAAGTGTTGAATCAATCGATTTGCGCTGATAAATCAAACCCATTGAGGTAATCAAAGCACTGAAGAGCACATCCCATTCTCAGATGCATGTTAAATAGAAAGAAACTAGAAAAATATAAAATTAGACAAATATAGCTAAAATGACATCAAAAGAACTCCAATGAATAAAGACTTAAACTTGTATTATTCTGCGTATTATTGAAAAAATTCAGATATGACAAATTAAGTATTTGATATTTATCAAATAAATATTTGCATAACTAGTGTGCTTTCTACAGGGTAAACCATGAATGGTGAGAACTGTCTCTGTCAACCTAAAAAATCAGGACATTCCTAATATCCATCATCAAAAGTGAACAAAATCTCGATAGGTAAAATAGTTCTTGAATGATGTAAGTAGTCATGAATGCTAAGGTATTCTATGTGAATTTATAAAAGAAGATGGAAAGAAAGAAGGATCTACAACATTAATAGCATATTCATGAAATAAATTCAAATTAGATGTATTGAAGATTGTTCTAATAATAGTACTTTCTAAAAAATTTAGCTTACAAACACTCACCCTAATGTGCTGTAAGATTTTATATGGCCCCATTTTTCTTTTTTAGTTAATTTCTTGCAAGTCCTAAAAAGAAATTGATACGGCGGACGCATCAGAGGTACGCACCAAGTGGATCCAAGAGCCGCTGGACTGGCCACTCCAGCAAATTGCAGCCCAAGTGGGGCCGGCGGACAAAGAGGGGGAGTCGCTAAGGGGGTGGGGCCCGACAAAGAATTAAAACATTATATTATGAGAAAATCCTTTCCTAATTGAAATCCTTTTCTAGTTTAATTATTTTCATATTTATGAGGGAAAAATATTAGGAAGGAGGCTGGTTTAGGAGGGAGGAATGAAGCTTATTAACAGCTATAGTAGGGTTTATTTTATTCTTATACATATTTTATTTTGAGTGTTGTAGTTCTCTTTTGTGAGGGATCCTAACGTCATCTAGGGTTTGGGAGAGAAGGTCCTCCTCTCGAAAGAGGACAATTGTATCTTGCTTTTGTTCGGAATTGATTTTCCTATAAATAAAAATCCATTTTGTGTTGAATCTCTTGGAGTATTTTGTTGTCTTGGATACCAAGATGAACCAAAAATTTTTCACGATTCAAACACATTATTACCTTATCATCAAGGGTATGCAAAAATACTAAGAAGCCTAAAAATTCGAACCAATTCATTTTGTTTGGGATTGGTTTCGTTTAGATTTTTTTTTTTTTTCTATACCAATTTATTTTGTTTGATTTAAGTTTGAAGTTTTATAAAACCAAAACAAATCAAGCCAAACTAACTAAGCATAATAACAATAAATATAAATCTTATTCCTAATATTTACTACCAGGCATTCATCTGATTAATTTAGGTAGAATCACAATCTTTCTTTGATTTACTTTTAAGAAATCTTAATCATTTAATGATCCATAAATTTAAAATAAATTTTCAAACTAAAACTAAACAATTAAAAACAATTTGAAATATAAGTGAAACAAAATAAAAGAATAAACTTCTAAATATTTATGCTCTTAAACTAAAAAATAAAACATAAACTGAAACAAATCAGATAGTTTATTTTGGTTTGCCATAATATTGTTTTAATTTTGGTTTCAAGATTGGTTTAGTTGATTTTAAATGCAAGTCTGATTGGAACTGAACTGAACAATGTATACCTCTACTTATCACTTATTTTGAATCTGCATGAATCATATTCACATAAGTAGTAAGCTTATTGTTGTCATAACTAATAATTATTATTTTTTATGAATTTCAACATTCTCATGCAAATCATGCAGAACATGAAAATGATAGCATAATATGTTTCTTTAGGGATACTATTAAGGACCTATGATGACGATGAGATGACACTAAAAATCAGAAGCTCCACATAAATATGATATGTCTATATAGAAGGACAACTATAACGAAAATTAGCTCAGCCAGCTCTAATATTAGTGAAGATTCTTGCACTTTCAGATTCTTCCAAATGGATGAACAGTTGGATTCATGTTTTCTTTAAGACAGTAATTATTAGCAAACTGTTAAAATTATTAATGTTATTGAATTTCCACAACTCTCTATATATGAGTTTGAAATTCAAGTAACCACAAACCTAAAATAAAATTAAAATGCATCATAGGAATAATATTAACAAATAATATATATTTTATTAGTTTGCTCAACATTGATTATTCACTTTTCCGTTCAGAATCTCTTTCTTATTTTGATCAAATGAATCATTAACTATAATAGAAATAATTTGTTCAACTTCACATTCAAGTTTAGATTCAATGCTTATTAGAGGCTTAAGTTCATACTCAAAGTAGATCCAGATTCTTAGGGGTGTCAATATTGGTCTCGACCCGAAAACCCGACCCGAAAATTTCGGGTTCGGGTTCAAGTTTTCGATCCGTTTCAAAAAAACGGGTACCCGGAAATGACCCGGCTGCCCGGTCTGCCCCCTCTACTGGCGTCGTCATTCTGCTCGCAAGCATCGACTTGCTGCCGAGTGCCATGCGTGAGTACGT